TTTTGATTTTTTCCCACATCTCTTCGATTTCCTCGTTGTCAAGTTTTTCATCCTGGATAGCCTTAACAAGCTCCGGTTTTTTCATCGATGTGTTCGCGTCTACCCCGAGCTCCTCACACAAGTCGAGCAACTGACACTTTAGCAAACGCTGCAGATCCATGTCTGTGACCTATCTGGGTGGCAAAACTCTGCACTACCGACACCCAACAACCTTAAAATTGCCTTTTCGGTAGTTACTTACGCCCCTGCAAAATACACCTCGATCTTACAGGCCTGGCGACAGAGAAAAGATGCCGTCACTCACCAGACTCGGCTCACGGCCCATGAGATCCGTTGTTGCTGCCGCTCAATGGTCGTAGCTGTCGATCCCACCGTCCGCCATCCAGTTGTAAAGACTCGGGGCTTGTCCATGTCGATCTCCGCTGGAGCCATGCGTCGCCCAGGACATCGGGCAGAGTTGGTAGCGAGCCAGGGTGTCTCTTCTCAAACTGTTTATTTACATACTATGTACAGTCTGCCGTTCGGCATGAGAACAACGTGAGAACACGAAGAGGGAGCGTAAAACCGCTCTTTTTATAATGTCCCCCCTCCCCTACGTCCCTAGGCCAGGACGACGTTCCCCAACTGGTCAGGCACCGCCCACTCGCACGCACACGCACACACAGAGGATAAGTGCTCTTCCGGTTCAGCCGTTTCTTCAGTGACGCTTGAGATTTGGCCTTGCTCCTGGAATCTAGGTCGAGGTGACACCGAGAAGCTCATTCCCAAACGTCCGGGCACCGCCTATGAGCACGCCCAAACGGACACACCGGTTAATCCTTTTGTTGGCTCTAAGAGAGCACGAACGCCCGGAGGATAGCGTCCCACTCCCTAGTCGGGACGGAGAGGACCTTGGACGCCGATATCCGGGCAGTTCCCGTTCACGGCTTATCTCCTTCTTTCGGCTTAGCAGGGATCACCGTGGCCGTTGGTTCCTGCTTGGACGCCTCAAAGAGAACGCATTTCCGTTTCAGCACCCAACTTGAGCCGGTATCGACGACGGCTTGTCTTGCTCTTTTGTCGACGGTACCAGGGCAGCGGGGAAAATAATCCCAGCTTGAGATTGTCAGCGAAAGGCGCGTCCTCGGGAATGTTACAAAAGGGGTGGCGATCCGCGTCCAGGTCCGGCCGCGAAGGTCGTTCGTTACAATTAGCTGAACATTGTGGCGTCTATCGTACTGTCTGCGGATTAGGAGCCACCTTGGCAACCGATCCCAGAGGGTTTTCTTAGCATCAGTGAAAAGGCTCGAAGCCAACATGACCATCTAAAAAACAACCACGTACAGAAGACAAACACACATTTCGAACGAAGCTCACAAGAACAGCTATAAACAATAGGGTCATTCCATGCCAAAAGGGACGCAGCAATTTTTTCATGTCTGGGACATGTGCGGAAAAAAAATTAATTTGAATAAAGAAGCCTCTGAACTCGTAAAGAAAATTATTTTTTTATTAAAATATCTTTTTTTTTCAAATTTTTGTTTATATCGTGCTCTAAATTTCTGGAATTCGCATAAAACCCGCGTAAATAAGAAAACCACTGTGAAAAAAACGGTTTCGTACCACACAACTCTTGTTAGGCGCCTAGCTACTTAATAGCATGTCCTATCTTACAATAAATTACGCGTCAGTCTAGGTAGGAGCTAAAAAAGAAGATTTTATGACATTTCTTTATATTTTTTACTAAACTTGAAGTTGAATATTAGCAATCCTTTTTTCGTTTGTTCTCATAGAACTAATAATTCAATTGCACGTGTTAAATATTCGAAACCCCGTTTTGTTGCGTTTTAATTAAATGTCAACATCTCAATTTCATGCAGTAACGGCCTTATTGAGAGCCAGAAAAAGGAGTGTGGGCATCGGGGCTCGCAACTTTCCAAATAGACAAACGTCAATCCACATCAATTCTTCAACATATCAAAACATTAGAAAAGTATTTTGTTGTTGCTGAGAAAAAAGTTTTGTAGAGATGAGCCCCTCCGACCATGCCTCAGGCGTCTACCTCGTAGTCGACGCACGCCGGCGTTCGCCGACGAAGCGTCAAGGGTGTGAGACGCCGTCGCTATGTCTTCAACTCTCTCCTGAAAACAATATTTATTTCGTTGAAGTGGGCGTTATTCTGACATCCACGCATCCGTATCCTCTCTACCTTACGTAATGATACTAGTGTCTTAATTTCACTCTACTGCACAGGTAACTGCCGACGAGTGCAAGCCTTAACCGTCCGCTTCCCAAGTTCGTAAATGCATACTGCGCGTCGACCTAGTCTGTCGTATGTCCAGATGTAAAAACAATTCTGACCCGATAGTTCTTCACCGACGCAAAATGATAACAGTGGTGCCGCTTCACCATTGAACTTAAATGTGTTTGGGTAGAACTAAGATGTATTGAAGTTCGTTGGCGCATCCACCAAGGACGCGCTGCCGAGATAGTGGCAGCATCATGGAAAAGACTACGTCACTCTTCTAAGCGTTATTGTGGCATGGCTTGTGTCAATTTGTTGTTTTTTTTGCGCGCAATATTGAAATTGGCAGTAAAAACGCGAAAATTGATCGATAAATATCTTAGATACTATTACCTTTTCGCAAATTTTGTAAATTGGTCAAGCCTTTGATAGTAGTTGGAGTCAATACTTGAATTGCAACATCAGCCAGGAGACCATTAATTAAAAAGTTAATCAACAATTTGTTTAATAAACCTACTTGCTATGACGGTTCTTACCTCATCTTGTGTCCGCCGAGATTGACACTCAGATGGCGAACACGGCACCCGTATAACTCCCACCTCTGATCAAACACACTTCCTCTAAAAATAGTGGCGAGTCCAGAATTCGAGACATGTTCTGTTGACCTCCAGTGTATTCCGGAACCTAAAATACTGGGGTGTGAGGTGCCCGCCGCAAACAGTGGCATGCTTTTTCTATCGCTACACTGTTTTTGGTAGCACACGCTCTATCAAAATACCTTTAAGTTCTATGGAAAAGCGACATCACTGTTACTATTGCAGATCGGTAAAGAGCTATTCGGTCTGAATTGTTTTTATATCTTGACATACGACAGACGAGGCCGACGCGCAGTAGCAGACGATGCAGGCCTGCGTTCGTCGGCAGTTACCTGGGCAGAAGTAGAGTAAAATATAGACTCCAGTATCATTACGTAAGGTAAACAGGATGCGGTTGCATGGAAGTCAGGATAACGTCCACATAGAGTGAATAAAGTGTGTTTTCAGGAGAGCGTTGAAGTTCCTGCGGCGGCGTCTCGCACCGTTGACGCCTCATTGGCGAGTGCCAGCGTGCGTTGCCTATGTTGCGGGCGCCTTGGTGCATAGTCGGGGAGGTTCATCTTTAAAAAATAAATTCTCAGCAACAACAAAAATCACTTTCCTAATTCTTTGATATGTTGAGCAGGTGAGGTGGATTGAACTTTTGGCTATTTCGAAAGTTCTGGGCCCCGATGCCCACATTGCTTTTTCTGGCTCTCATTGAGGCCGTTTCTGCATAAACTGGAAATTTTGCTAATTTAACTAAAAGGCAACAAAATGAGGCTTTGAAAATTTAACACGTGCAACACAATTATTAGTTCTTTGAGAAAAAACTATAAAAGCATTGCTGCTAACACTCGACTCTAAGTTGACTAATCAAATTGAAGGAATGTTATAAAATCTCTTCATTTTTGAGCTCCTATTCGAACTCAAAATGGCGTCTTTCAATGCTTGTATTTTACTATAGGGCATATGTTATTAAGTAATTAGACGCTCACATGAATTTGTGTGATATATGCAACCGTTTTTTCCCAATGTTTTTCTTAACTACGCGGGTTTTATGCAAATTCCAGAAATTTAGAGCACGATATCAGCCAAAATAAAACGTCTTTTTTCCAGAAAATACTTTTCTTGGAGTTCTGAGGCTTCTTTATACAAATTAATGTTTTCGTACATATCCCAGCCATGCGACATGCAAAAATCGCCGCGTCTCCTTTGGCATGGAATGACCCAATAGAAAGTGCATTCGAAGACAGAGAAGGTATATCCACGGAGCAAAGCCACCTCCGAAGCGGAGGTGGCTTTGCTCCGTTTATAGAACCCCCTTTATAGTTTATAGAACCCCTTTTAAGGGGGTTCTATAAACTAAGTATACAGCTACAGCGTTCACGTTCGCCCCACTTTGGTGCCTCCCGACTCCGGCAGAAATCATGAGCCGTGCCGTGGAGACGAGCGAACCCTCGAACTCTCGGAGAAGATTAAAGCATAAAGTAAAGATAAACCAAGCATGCGTGGGAGCACAGCTTCGCGACACTGTATTCCTGCTATATAAGCCTCCATACAAAAAATTCGGCTTTGACTATGTTAGCCGAGGCCTATACAACTTTTAGAAATATAAGCTGTTTTTCTGACTAGTGCAAATTTTAGCGCTCGCCCTGGTGAGGGGTGTGATGTTTTCACACCGGGATGTGATTTTTGCGAATGCTGAGCCTGTTTTACCGACATTCTGAAAACAAGTAGTGTATTAAGGACAATATGAGCGTGAACAGCTCGCCATACTTTTTTTGTCATTCCTTCAAATTTTTTTAAGAAAGTCAGATCCAGGCTAGATTTTTGGAAAGCAAATTTTTGGTCTCAGTCATGTTGACGAGTCGAGAGACAATAAAATTTATACCAACCATGGACCTAGCAAAGGTTTGGATGGAGTGTTGCATCTCATGTCGTTTAAGAGGAGAAGAGGGGAAACACTTCTCAATACTCTTAACGCGAACACGACATTGTCACTTTTGCACTTTCTCTTTTTTTCATTTTACTTTGAAAGGGTATTGGTGGGCCATCAAATTTTATCACTTTAATTACAGCCCTAAATGGTTACTTTCCCCCACACTAGTAGTTTTAATAATAGAGCTTCAAGTCTGACAGAGTCCCGCTGTATACACAACATGTTTAGGAATCCTCACACTGTGTCTGGCCCTTCGCAGCCCCTGGACAAGGCAGGTTCCGACGTGCAGCTCCAGCCCGGCAAGGTGCACTTGGCTCTGAGACAAGGTACGGAGTGCTGGTGAAACTGGAACGGGGGATCTTTTGTATGCACAGTACTGTCCTCAACGATATAGAAGGCCCGCTCGACGAGACCGTTTCCGGCGGCTGTGCTGGATCAATACTGCCCACAAGACAAGGCCGGCGCGCGTGGGACGTCATCGTTCGTGAATACTCCGACCTGACCTCAGCGTCAAACACACTGACGCTCGACGAGGCACGCCGCGAAGCGGCATACACGTTAGTCTGCCGCTTTGTCTTCTAGAGGTATTGGCTGAATTCGCTTTGGCCCAACCCACATTGGTTCGGCTGAGGAAATGAACGAACCTTTCTTCTAGTCTCTCCCCGAAACCACAGTGTCTGTGGTCGAACTGTGCTTAGCACCGCCGCAGAAACGGCTTCGGCGAATGGGTCTGTCGTATAGTTGGAGACTGTACTACGCGTAACACGCCTAACTTGGTTTGCAGGAGCTCTGCAGACGTTCACGGTCCGATACCGCCAAGCGGATGACTACCCCGTGGACCTGTACTACCTGATGGACCTCACCCATTCCATGAAGGACCACAGGGACAAGGTGGCAGAGCTTGCAGACGACATGGGTAAGTTTGAGTGTTTTTTCTTTTCTTTCGGGGGCATTAGAATACATTCTTTTTCGTCTCTGGCTTGGGAAACACGTCAGGAAAAGATGTCCAGAAGGCGATTAGCTTTGCTTAATTTATATCTGGCCACAATGGCCGGATGTAACCTTAACTAATTTCCTACAAACAAAACGCAAGAACGAACAAGGAAAAAATTTTTTTGGACCCAACCGGTTTTAACGAAACATCAACAACAGTATATGTTAGTCGCAACAACAGAGGAAAATATACTAGTATTTAACGTCAAGTTTACGTTTCGAACACTTCCAGGTACTAGTTTCGTGATATTTTTTGGGACTTGAAAGCAACATTTAAGATGGTTCTTTCTTATGAAGCAGGATTTTCCCACGTCTTACCGTGCCATGATGGTCCGGCTCAATATTTTTTTTTATATTTATGTAAAAATATATGTTAAACCCATGTTCTTGCGAGGAGCGTTCAGCTATATGCGAACGCCGTAGAAAATGTTCTTCTTGGGATATAAAATTTCCAAGCTCGAGGCTTGGAGACTGCCAAGGTTTCGCTTTGGTAGTTTGCATAGCTCTCAATTACACACCGAAGCATGCACGTCGTAATAATTGTTTCCAATAATTTTATTAAAGGGTTAAGACATGTGCACAAAATAATAAAAATCACAATAAAGGATTTCCATGTAAAACAAATTACGAAGCACGTCAAATAAACATGTTTTAGAGACACATTCAGACATATTCACAAATTATTTACCAACAAACTACTTCATATAAAACGACGAAAATGATATAAGCATTAAATTATTTAAGTGTATTTTATGAATATATAAGAAAAATATGCCTAGCCATTATTGTAGTTCTGTTGTTAATGCACAAACGCAGCTCATTTTTCTAAATGTGGCAAAATTCAACATCAATATTTAAAATACTCATATTTTTATTTCTTAGTACTTTGCTTAACCGTTTACAGTGACTTGAACTAACTTGTGAGGGTAAAAGCTAAAGATTGAGTAACCTATGATATGACATCCTTGAAAGGGAAATGACAACATACCTTCACTGAAATTGAGCTAGCTTGTCATTGTTATTGGGCTTTGCCGCAGGACATCGACTGCAAGGAGACATTTTTTTTACAACCGACAAAGGCTGTACGGTGGTGCTTCTGTATTAAAGGGCATAGAAAGGCATGCTGTCCCTAGCATAGTTCTATATTTGTTTTTTCTTGCGTTTCCCCCTCCCCCTTTCCTTTTTTTTTTTTTTTTTTCAAACGCGTTTGATATGACTGTATTATACGGAGCGCCGTAATACGCTGGGTATTCCTTATATCTCTATAACGTAAGCAGATTTATAATATTTCAATTATGCCCACATGCTTGTAATTAAAATGGTACTTTTAAATTTTTTAATTATGAAGGTAATTACTAAAAGTAACTATTGACCTAATTATATCAAGAACGTATCTTTTCCTAAATTTGCCCTTTGGCAGGATCTAATATTACATCAAAACTTCTTCTGTGCGATGCGTACTTTTCACATCAACGATTTGGCCCGCGTTTCGTGAATCATTCCCTATGCATAGCAAAGTGCTTCTCCCAAGGACATGACTTTCATGTAGTGTATATTATACAGAAGTATACAAAATATCACCCCGACCATCACTGTATTAACTGACATGGAAACACCCAACAACAAAACCCATTGTGGTTATCAAATTCCTTCTATATTCCAATGGGTACACACGGATACTGAGAACGGGTAAGCTGGTTTGCTGTTGGGTTTTGTTGTCGACGGGCCACTGCTGCCGGAACTGTATGTACGGTATGTACACTATCGTGAAGCCCGAAGCCCTCACACGAGGAAAGTCTATCGCCGCGAAAACAAGGCGAGGGTATCCGGAAAGTCGGAATCTTGGTTGAACACCAAGATTCCGACTTTCCAGATGCTGCTTCCCTCGCCTTCTCCGCAACGTGGGGCCTGATTTTCGATCAGGCTGGCATTCCGATTCCTTACCTGTTTCCGGTTGAATTGGGACACTGTTTCCCGCTCTTTTGGAGGGTCATCGTGGCGGGAACGCCGCACGAAGGTGCTGACATGATCGCCTGCCTGGCGAGGAGGCGCGGACCTTTGGCATTGTCTTTAGGGATTAACCCTTTTTCCCAGCATGTCAGGAATTTACTTATCCCCCGTCGCGAGAAGCGCCATGAGTATTTGCTGTTCAGCGCACCGTTGGATGCTGGCAGGTTGATCCTGCTTGCCCAAGAGCGCTGTGTGAGTCGAAATTACCGCACGTCTCGAGGCCTGTAGCGCCGGACGTCACCCCACCTACGCCTCCGGTCGGTCACGTCTGTTGGGAAAGGTGCCAACTCATGGTTCGAGAATGTAATACGCCTAACCGTCTTTGCTCGCGTATCGATTTAATGTTTTGGAACCCTTGTTATTGATCGGACGCGTTAGAGAGGCATCGCTCCGGGTGGAGAACGCACCCATTGCGGATGACGGTTGCATGGACTGTGTTTGGAACTTATTCCCGCATTGGATTTTGTCCGGGAGGAGCCTTGCGTCTCGGTTTGACCTCATGCTAGCTCCCAGTTGGCCTTGCTTGAGCTGTCAGCGCGGTTTTGAGCTTCGTTAGTTGACAGCGTTTCAAGGTACGGATGCACTCTTGTGGTTCCGACCAAGATCGCTTTGAACGAGTACCTTGTGGCCAGAGGCTACACTTAGAAGCTAAGCACCCTAAACGTTGCCGGGTACGTGATGTCTAATGCGTAGACATCGAAATCTAGAAATCCAGAGTTTCCGTTTTCACTTTATCAGCTCTGTGTGTGTGTAATGCTCCGTGGAGTCCAGCCTCACGCGATGGGTATGACCCGTGCTTTTCTGGCTGTAGAGTCGTGAGGTTGATTCCGTTTAATTGTGCGCACAGTTGGTTCCGGATCCTCACACCGCCATATCGAACCTCGCGGCGGGAGTTACTCGCACATTTCGTTTCCTCCGCCTCCGGAGGAGCGGCGGCTATCGCGCACTTTGCGCTGCCGCCGGATACAGCACGGCTCTCGGCTGTGGTTGGGTTCGCGTTGGGACGCGAGGGCGTAGAGAGCGTAATTGGTCGTGCAGACACCTGGATTAGAGTAAAATTATAGGTCAAGGGGAAAAACGACAGCTAGGAGGGGAAAGAGCTGTGCTCGTGCAGTGAAAAGCTGCACAAGGGAAATGGCGGTCTTGCGAGGATGTGACGAGTTCTTCATAGTTTTATCCTGTACAGATGCGCGGTTGGCCCGGGAAAACTTACGGTTCACGTCGGCGGGTTCGGAAAATGTTATTTATTTGATTCAATGCAAAAAATTTCTAATTGAATACATAGGAGAAACTAAAACAAGCATAAGAAAACGCATGAATGTACACAAAAGTCACATACGTAAACACGTTGGCGGACCTGTTTCTCGTCACTTAAACTCCGCGGGACATAACGGACTTTCGGATTTTAATTTTATTATACTGCAGGGGGGCTTTCAAACCACCAGAGATCGAAAAAATAAAGAATCGGAATTTAGTTATAAATTTAATACTTTATAACCGAAGGGCCTTAACAGATCGAAAGGGTCATTGCCTTCTTTTTTTTATGGACATTTAATTCAGATTTTCTAATCGGTGCCGCACTGTTGCTTTTCTTTTTCTCGCTTCGTCGTTTAATGTGACACGAGCAAACGCTTAACATTGGGCCTCTCATTGGCTTCACATGACACCAGGTATAGTTGGCTTATGTCCAACCACATGTCCCAAAAACTGGTTTTGTGATAATAATGGCGTTAATAATATTATATTTAATCACTTCAATACTATTTGCGGCTTTTTTATCGGTATATATTAAACTTTTAAGCGAGAAATTAGTTGAGTCGATACCCACTAAACGGTAAGCATTTTTCCAATTACTTCTTTTCGGCCGTTTTTACATTGATTGAAAGAAAAGGAAAACGAAGTGTTCTCGTTTTGACTGACGAAGAGCCTACCAGGCTCGAAATGTATCTGCAGATCACTTTTTTGGCGACCTCGGACGACCATCTCCTATAAGGGCAAATATTTTGTGAACTTATTTCTCTCGAGTGCCTTCTTTTTATCCCAGGTGCTGTTCCTATATATATATATATATATATACATATATATATATATATATATATATATATATATATATATATATATATATATATATATATATATATAAACACAGGGTGAAACAAGGAGACGGCAGGCTTTTTAAACCGACCGGAAAATTCGGTTTCTTTACCTATCGCGCTACGACTTTGTGCAGCGTTGTCCACAGGTGGTGTATTTTTTTTTGTAATATTTGCAAAGAGTGAACTTAGTTGAGGAAAAAGTAAAGAAAGAAAAAGGCTTAGCTCCTATGGAAACGCAGCGACACCTCCGGTCTGCAAACAACACAGCGCCGTTTCGCATGGGAGACAAGAGATGGCGCAACAAACGCCGCCAACGAACGAGCATACGGCGCCGAGAGCAGCCTTTTTAGCAGACGGTCTTTTCGACTCAAAAGCGGAGCGCGTTCCGCAGGCGGCGACAGTCGCAGAAACAAAAAAGACAGGCGCGGTAACAACAAGGAACTGTAGTTCCTTGTCTGCTAAAGACGCCGGCTCTCGCCGTCGTCTGCTCGTTCGTTGTCGGCAGTTGGCGTCGCGACCGATTGCGCCATCTCTTGTCTCTCGTGTGAAACGGCGCCGTTTTGTTTGCAGACCGGAGGCGTCGCTGCGTTTCCCTAGGAGCTAATCCTTTTTCTCTCTTTACTTTTTCCTCAGGTAAATTCGCTCTTTGCAAATTTTACAAAAAAAAAAAAAAAAAAAGTGCACCATATCTGTGGGCAACGCTGCACAAAGTCGTAGCGCGATAGGCTAAGAAACCGAATTTTTCGGTCGATTTAAAGAGCCTGCCGTCTCCTTGTTTCACCCTGTATATATATATATATATATATATATACATATATATATATATATATATATATATATATATATATATATATATATATATATATATATATATATATAGGAACAGCACCTGAGAAAAAAGACGGCACTCGAGAGAAATATGTTCACAGAAATATTTGGCCCTTAATAGAGTTGGTCGAGGAGGTCGCCAAAAAAGTGAGCTTGAAACGTTTCGGGCCTGGTAGGCTCTTCGTCAGTCACAGTAAGAACACTTCGTTCTCCTTTTCTTTCAATCAAAGAAAAAACGGCCGGAAAATAGAAGAAGTTAATTCGAAAAATGCTTACCGTTTAGCGGGTATCTACTCAACTAGATTCTCGCTTAAAAGTTGTAATATATCCCGATACCAAAGCAGCAAATACTATGGAAATATGGAAACACACACACACACTATATATATATATATATATTCTGTTTGTGTGTGTGGCGGTGTAGTTATTGAGTAGAACTGACCTCGTCGAGGGGCAACAAATGCTTTCGCGCCTCAGGATTATGTATAACTGATAGAATGCTTCGAAGAAGCAGGCAAACTTGTGACTGTAATATTATTTACTAAACAAACTTGACCTAGACAATTCCTCGCCTGTCGTCGCGATTGTCGCGAAGGCGTTGCTTTAAAGTACACGCATGGTTCCTTGATTGCCTCGACAGACCAGGGACGATGGGGTGCGGGGTTTTTTCCGCAGTGGCCAGTATGCTCAATGTTACGCGGAACTTCCGACTGGGATTCGGCTCGTTCATCGACAAGGTGGTCATGCCCTACGTGGACACGACACCGGCAAGGTAAAACACTCACGCGTTTTTTTTTTAGTTTTTTTTAAATATGTGATTTTGTTTTGGAACGACAGTTCGCGCTCTTTTCAGCACTATCGCTTCGTGAATTCAATGCAAAAAAAGTAAAGAACAAGTGAACGAGAAAAGCTTTACGTTTGTTTCGTTGCACAATGAAAAAGAAAAAAATAAAGACAGTTTTTATTTTCTGTTAAATACCAAAATGCAAAAAATTTATACAAATTTAAAAAAAATGATGACGAAATGATAGGCTAGGTGGCGCAAGCTGCCGCCCGTTACAAAGGGTATAGCCATTACCCTCCATCCATCCATTCGTTTTCTGGGATCTTGGTGTTCGGTGACATATTCACATTTATAGAAGCACAAACAAACACACACACACTAAAAAAAAGTAGTAGGCGTTTTTAGTAGCTGTGCATGGTAATAAAATAGTTAGGATTTATTTTCACCTTTGTGTATTTCTTTTACAGTATACGACTTTATTTGTTTGTTAATCCGCTGAAACCTGTTTATGTCTGCGAATTACGGCCTTTCTTTTTTTGCTTTCCCGCAATGCACACGTAGAAAGGGAGAAGCAAACGTCCCAGGCGGATTCGCGCATCCTAAGATGCCCGCGCCAAAGTTGTAGGCCAACGTTTACTCTTTTTACAGCGAAAGAGAAAACATATTAAAAGTTCGAGTGACTTTTTTAATTGTGAGTTGATTAAGGTGTTTGCTTCTACCGTCGCAGATCGAGAACTTAAAAAAAAAGCGTGAAAACAAATTTTTTTTTTTTTTTAAATTCGTGGACGATTTGCTATGCCGTCAGCTATATAAAATGCTACAATTACAATTGTGCACGACATAGTTTTAACTTTGTTTTACTACTGTATTTTTTGTTAAGAGTTGATTTCATCAGAGGCCATCGTATTCTTTAAATATATGGTCGTTTTATTTCTGTATCTTGCATTCAGACATAATCTTTTACACCGAATAATATGTTTAGCAAACGTCAAGCTACCCACATGCTAGGCTGATTAAATAAAACTAATCAATCAATACACATCTATGGTATCCGTCGTCGGAGAATGGTGTTCGTCCCTCAGCCCGCGTGCACCAGAAAAACATAATCTGTCCTTATCAATTAAGTTGTTGCATCTGATATATTTTTTTGTCTTTACTTCGTTAGGATTACACTTTAACCTCACATTGCGGATATTTTTATGAGACTTCGCACCTTGCCATATCAAACTCTGCTGCTCGATTCCATTCATGGAACTGACTGTATTACGATGTGAGTCACCGGATGTGAAAGCCTGCTTTTTCCAAGATATGGTGTGTAGGTGAGCTCCTTCTTACCTGTATGCAGGCTTCAGAACCCATGCCACGACACCCAGTGTGCGCCACCGTACGGTTTTCACCATCAGCTGCCCCTGACGACAAACAGCAGTCTATTCACTGTGAGTTCCCCAATGTCAGCGCAACGAAAAAGAAATCATATATTTAGTCAGAAAGAAAAAAATGGCAGGACCTTTACCTTTAGAGTTCTCTAGTGCATTAGAGGGATTTGGTGCGGGAATTGGTGTGTCGCGTGACGTGTATTTTCCCGCTAAGTTAAGCGGGAAAACTGAAGGCTTTTACAGGTCACGTGACGCCAATTTCCCCCCGCAAAATTTAGTGAGGAAACTGAGTTGGCGTATAGGGCACATGACGCCAATTTTTCCCCTAAATTTAGCGGGGAAACTGAATTTGTCTGGATGTCTGTAACGTCAAGTCGCGACAACAAGTTTTCTGCTAAAGTTTGCTGAGAAACTGAATTCGTGTGTTCTTGTGATGTAAATTTTCCCGCTAAACTTAGCGGGAGATGCGCGAACGGACAGACGGACAAAATGTTGAGAGGGGGGGGTTAGCGTAAAAAGCATTTCATGCCTTAAAAGAAGCATCATCCCGAAGTAGACCTTTTTGATAATGGTCGTTATGTGAACACACAAACGAGAAGGTTTAAACGTGAAGGGGCTTGAATGATTACCTCCCGTCACCTTGCGCTCGTTGCTGTAAATGCGCAGTTGGAAGTTTTTGGACTTTGAGACGCGATAAGTTTCCCATTATTTATTTACGTCTTGTGCTCCAGGTGCTTTTTCATTCACTAACCCTAAAGATACTTTTACCGCGTAAGACAACTAGATTAAGAATTCGGTTGACAGTTAAGCGGCCATGAAACGAATTTTTGGGCTGGGATAAATTTAAATTCGGATTTTACTAATCGCATATCGTTTAGTTGGCCAAAAGAAAGGGGGTAGAAAGTCAAAAGCCAGCTTTTCGGTACGAACATTTTTAAATATAGCGGACTATTTTGTGCCTTCTTTCCCTCGAAAGCTCTCCTTTTCCTTTTCACTATGATACATCCGCGGTTCCCAAAGCGCGTCAGCGGTGTCAACGTCACGTCAGCCGAGCCCAGCTCACGCATTGGACACCAGAACTGCGTAACTTGGATGTATTCGCTCGTCACCAATCAATCCGTGGACGAATATTTGGATTCGTGTTCGTGGTCAATGAGTGCCCTGACAGAACTTATCGTCACTGGGGAGTGACAAGTTCTATGGTGTGCATAAAAAGCACGGTGGAAGCTAGGAGTCATCGCACCGATGCCAAAGAATGTCACGACGACGTGATTTTACAATTCGCATTTGAGGTAAGGATTGAAGCTAAGAAGGAAGAAGTAGAAAAATCGTTTCATGACCCCTTTAAGAAAACTGCGGAGTACAAGCACTGACTACAAAATGATGGTTTTATACCGCTCATCAAAATGAAAACAACAAAATAAAGTGGGGAATGAATGGGCGGGCATGCACATGCGCGTACCGAAAATAATTAAGACACTTTTTAAAGAGTCTCGCCTAGGCTGCCTTCATGTGCGAGGTCATTGAGGCACCCTAGTCTCGCGGAAGTCAGCGTTGTTTGGTATTCCTGTATACAGTGAAAATGTGCATATTTAGCTTGGCATTATACTTATTTCGGCTCGATATAGTATAAAAATGTCTCGAGAATCTAATGTTTCCTGAGTCTCACCATTCACTGAATGTTTGTCCTCGATTTGCAATGACCGATGCAAAGCGTGATCAGCAGAAATGCACATGCGCTGGAGATGAGCCTCTAAAACGTCGTGGCCGAGGTTTTACCGTACAAACTCGCTCACCGCAGGAGACCGTTTCTTCGGCAGCGCTCTCTGGAAACCTGGACAACGCGGAGGGCGGCTTCGATGCCATCATGCAGTCTATCGTCTGCAAGGTGCGTTGTGCTAATATCTTCTTGTTGGTGACCATCGTAGAGATTTGAGGACTAGTCAAGCTGATTCTTCCGCGTTTCTTTCCTGAGTTGCCCGCGTTGTAATCGATTAAAAATGAAGTTATTAATATTAATTAGATTGGATTTGAAGAATGTTTATGGACTCCTTGAGCAAGCGGTTGCGCCTCGGCGTCGCTTGTTGGAGGGTTCTTCTTCTAGAGGAGAACGTCTACTCGAGTCAGCTTGGAGTAGACGTTCTATTATTCTTATTCACCGATGTTTGTTTGCAAACAAGCTCACTACCACCCCCTATCGGCGGACCCCTGCGCGCTTCCGGTTTTCCTCTTCTTTTCCATTTGTCTCTCCTCCTTTTGTTATTTGTACTACTTTGTACAATGCACTAATGATCTTACAAACATACTACAGAAACTTCTCTGAAGGAAACTCTTCTTAACCGACCGCTGTGCGTTGCTGAAGAATAAATAAATACACTACCGGAAGTTTACTGGGGCACCAAATACTGTGGCGCCCTCGTGGTATCAACTCCCACCGAATGTGGTGAATAAGAAGAATAATAGCACGACATCGGTGCACATGTTTCCTTTCGTTTCTTGTCCAGTGATTGGTTCTTTTACGTAATTATAGCGTCTCAAGGGCGCCGATAATGGAGCAATCTGACTAATACGCCGTACAAAAGATAGTCTGCAGGCACTGTCTGAGGCACGTTTCTTTCCCGTTTGAAAGTCCTGTCACATTGTTGATAAAAAGAAAACGGTCTGTAGGCATGCCTCGTATGTACGAAGCCAGCGTACTTCGAACAAGGTGTCCCCAGGAAGTTCTGTCATTATGTCTGCAGACCGTGTCCTTAGTACGACGTACGAGCAGTGGCTCTAGCATGTCAGATGTCTCCATATCTATAGGGCGAAGACCGCGCAGGTGAGGGGCACGTCTTACAGCGAAGCTGTATATGACTCGTTGGTCGGGTTTTTTTTTTTTTTTTTTGTGTCCGTCGACGGAAACAGTAGTCGATGAAATAGACGACAGAAAACTTATGCGCGCGCCTTATCTCTTATCAAGTGGGTTTGACACTATTTTCATTGGAAAACCGCAAAACAAGTGTCAAGATACTCAAAACCACGTGATAGACGTTAAGGGCATAGCACTTCCCGCATGCGTTTCTCGGTAAAAATTGCGGTTGCATAAGCTGCCGCAGCAACGGCAGCGGACGAAGTGGGGACTGACGTCAGTAGCCCCGCTAACAATGTGAAGCACGTAGCGCTCCCCGCATGTGTTTCTCGGTAAAGATTGTAGTTGCATAAGCTGCCGCGGCAAGTAACGGCAGCGTACGAAGCCTTTCTTATATAAAAAAAGTTTTGGTACAGTGCATTTACTTTTTTTTTTTTTGGTGAATCATTTGGTAAAAACCCTTTTGTTGTTTACAAACACAAACTTCTGCCTACGTCCCAAGCGACTTCCGGTCGCACCGTCTTTGCAAGCCTTTTGGGCTTGCTTATGTCACCAGACTCTAGTGCTAGAAAGCATAAACGCTACACGGACAATAAAGTTGGAGAATTAAAGAGGGCCTTCGGCTATACAATATTACATCTTAGAGGAGACCTGTTGGTTTACAAGAATGCTCGAAATATTTTAACAGATCTTGCACTATACTCCGTTCTTTTGGCGTTCACCTAGAGTACAATTGGGGGTTAATAGTTTCATCTACATTTCAAGTAGCAGTGTTAAGTTGGCCTCGTTGCTATGACAACTCGTTGTTCACCCTTTTTATAACCCGGAAATTCTCTCGGACGTCAAAGACTGGAGCACCACCTGGTAAAGTTTGCCATACAAAGGGTCACTAGTGCAATGGGCAATCGTTGCAGGTGATACCCTTCGCTGTTTAACCACTTTCACAGTGTGGATTGGGGCATTTTAGTTTCTGAGCTGTCGTCGCGCCGTCGGTTTGTTAAGCGTCGCAATTGCAACGTAAAATAGCTCTTTTTTTGGCGAGGGTAATTTTGTTGAACACGCGAGACGCGAAAGCGAGGTGCCAAAGCCTTGAAGACCGAGAGAACAATGTAATTATACATCACCCGGCCTCCGCGTTTTTTTTTTTTTTTTCTCTCGTACAGTTACGCAATACCCACAGGCGTCAGTAGGAGTCCATGAGTCTCGGTGCATAAACAATTGCACCGAGGTTTACCGACCCAAAAATATATTTGCCGTATCACCATTTTATAATATGCGACCAAAATACTGAAGGAAATGGATTTTTTTTTTGTCTTGAGAGTTTTAGTAAATTTTAAAACACAAAGTTTAAACTCAGAAGATGGATCAACTGGCGAGAAGGACACGGGATTGAATTCTCTTTTAGAGAACAATTGCTCGCCATTGTTTTCTCTTTCTGTCATGTAGAATAGGTCGTACTTTCCAGTCATTTGTTACACTAGAGGCTGGGGACGTTTAGACACACGAGAAAAACAACTAAAAGAATCAGACTGACTACGCCAAGAAACTCCGAATAAATATTTTCGGAACTTGAGAGACAGGATGGCGCCGTAGTGACTTTAGTCGCGATGAGTTACAACTGAATGTTCAAAGCTGTTGACTTACAACTGAACTGAACCTATAAGTGAGAATTGAACATGCAAAACTGCTGACTACAACTTTTCGCAGCACTTATGACTTGCTGCAAGTCAGTATAAGGTACGTTTTTAGAGTGGCGACGTGGAGCGTACCGTAAACGTCTATTTCAGGAGAAAATCGGCTGGAACGAGCGCTCAAGAAAGATCCTGCTTTTTGCCACAGACTCCATCTTTCACGCTGCTGGCGACGGTTTGGTACGTACTCGTGTTTACTTTCAAAAGAATATATATATATATATATCTTCCCGACGAAGGCCGAACTCCGGCCGAAACGTCGAAAAATAAATCGTCCGTTGTTACTGTTTACACTAAGGTTTTTTTTTCTTCTCAGTTATATACCCACGCCTTCAGCCTCCCGCCACCATGCCCGTTACATATCACAAGTCTATATATATATATAGACTTGTGCTCTCGCCAAATGTAATGGATTACAATTACAAATTACCGAGCCTCAAATCTAATGGATTAGCGTTACGGATTACTTTTCACGTTGCTTTTTCTGTACACTTATCCAGAAATCAAGATAAATAATTTTGCTATTTAAAAAAAAAATGTTCTGCAAAACTACTTTTCATTTCTGATACGCCCGTATTTATGGTAGCCTTTGTAGAAATAAAATGTATTTAGGAGAAAGAGTGTAAGTGCACTCTATTCACTTGTAAGCTGACATGGCACCGAAAGCCACAACCACACTCGCCGTCCCGCTAGCTTACGGCCTCCGGAAATGATCCCTGGAATTGCGCAGACGACGCTAGCGATGCGCATGCTCAGTAGCAGCGTCTACCTCCGCTACGAGATTCGGGGCTAAAGAAGCGATCTACGAAAGCTCCCTTTTGACTCGGGTGTTTCGCCCGTTATTCGCAAGAAAAAAACAAAACAAAAAAAAAACTCGGTTTTAACGTTACAATGTATAGCCAATGCTGAATGTAAGTGTCCCAGCTTACCTTGATGTGTTTCCGCAGATTATAGCTTGCTTTTCTCGCTGATGACAATGTGTCTTTTTTTGCCAAGCAAAGTATGCACTGAAACTCTAGGCTTTCGTTCTCCTATAATGCCCTGAATTTCGACCATCTAACTAAGAGATGGCCATGGAGATGATGGACACTCTATGACCGAAGACTCGACCAGTCAGAGAAAAAGTGGCGGTTACGGGTTATCGATCGTTCATCGGTTCTCACTTTTAAACCAATATTCGTCGAGGCCAGGGGAGGGGAGGGCATAAAGAGTGTTTTTCGATGATGCTCAGCAAGATTCTAATTGAAACCATGCCCTTAAAGTCTATATTTATAAAATTAATTACGCAAAATAATTAACAACCTAATTATCTCGAACTTCAATCATTTTCCTAAATGGGCCTCTGGCCCAGGACATAAATGACACAAGCCTTTGTTTGGTGCGATGCGTATTTTTAGCAATATCGAATTTGTCCACCTCTCGTAAAACACCCTATATATATATATATATATATATATATATATATATATATATATATATATATATATATAATGAAACTATTAGAGATATTTGAATACGTGAAGGTATTTTTATAGTACCTATTAAACGAAGAGGAAAAGTTAAAAGGGTGTAGAAAAAAACAGTAGCGCCAGCGGAGGGTGTCAAACACGCGACCTGCGACGGCAGGCAAAAACACTAGTGTCTGCCACTGCGGCTTCTGCGCTTCGTAACTCGAGAACAAAAAATCTGGGGAACATGCAGTTTGCGCTCTCATTCATTTGAGAAATGCCCCTAAAACATAAATTTTTCTTGTGAAAATTAAAACTGGACCCTTTCAGCCTGCCCGATATGGGCAGTTTCATCTCAAATCAGGCACACTAAAAGGGTTTAATTTTTAATTTTCACGAAAAAAATATGTGTTTTGGAGGCATTTCTCAAATGAAGGAGGGCGCTAACCGCATGTTCCCCAGATTTTTTGTTCTTCAGTTACGAAGCGTAGAAGCCGCAGTGGCAGAAACTAGTGTTTTTGTCTGCCGTCGGAGGTCGCGTGTTTGACACCCTCTTCTGGCACTAGTCTTTTTCCTACAGCTTTTTAACTTTTCCCCCTCATTTTATAGATACTATAAAGATACCTTGGCGTACTCAGATATTTCTAATAATTTGATTGTTTTCTAAAAAAAAATGTCAAACTTGTCACTCAGGTCAAATTTGGGTCAACTTTGACAGGTCATTACTTTGTCTGTACTTAAGATACATTTTATTTCTTTAACTCTATAGAAATTCCTAAGTATGCCTAGTATATATATAGTATTATCATTATTATCTGCCGAGTAGCCGCTCTGCCACCTTCACATAAACGTTGTGAAAAATAACAAATGTTTATACATTTCACGCGATTGCGGCTCAAACAGAGGACATACAAACAAAATATTACATTTCTAGACTGTATTTTCTTGTAGTAGACTAATATGTCTAAAAGAATTAAAAAAAATAAAAATTTACAAAAATGGGTTTTTTGAGAAAATCGACCTCAAAATTTCAACATTTGTTATTTCCTACAACGTTTACGTGAAGGTAGCAGAGCGGCTAGTCGACAGATCATAATGATATTATAATAACTATAATGGGCTTGCTTTGGGCTTTCTGTAGAGCCAAAGAAAGAAAATTTACCTTAAGTACAGACAAAGTAATGACCTGCCAAATTTGACCGAAAAGCGACCGGAGTGACGAGGTTGACATGTTCTTAGAAACAATCAAATTTCAAAAAAATTGAAATACATCAAGGTACCTTTATAATACCTATTAAATTAGGGGGGAAATTAAAAGGGTGTAGAGAAAACAATAGCGCCAGCAAAAAGTCAAACTCGCGACCTGTGACGGCAGGCAAAAACACTACTTTCTGCCACTGCGGCTTCTACGGCACATAACTCAAGAACTAAAAATCTGGAGAACATGCGGTTTACGCCTTCCTTCATTTGAGAAATACCCCCAAAACATATATTTTTTCCGTGAAAATTAAAAATGAGGTCCTTTTAGCCTGCGCGATTTGAGATGAAAACACCCATATATATACGTATTATATATATATGGGTGATTTCATTCCAAATCGTGCAAGCAAACAAAAAGGGTCGAATTTTTAATTTCGCTGAAAAAGATATCTGTTATGGCGCCGTCTCTAAAAACTCAGTAGCCACAAACCGCGAATTCGTCGAATTTTTCGTCCTCGACTTACGAATTTTAAAAGAGGCCGTGGCGGAAAGCAGTGTTCTTCACATTCGTCATGGGTCGGATGTTTCGTTCGATCTCCCGCTGTGAACTTTCAGTCAACATTATCTTAACTTTTTTCAAGCACTCTGTGAGCACATTTAAAAGGCTATAATGCCATGAAAGAAATGTAGGCGCTTTGCTCGAGCCGGCCCGTGGGGCCTGGCGCGAGATGGTCGTGCGTGCCACTGCCCCGTCGTCGTCTTCACCTTCCTGACAGTACTCCCTCCGACAAAAACCCGCTGAATAAATGAACACATAAAGCACACTTAAGGCCCTGTCACATTGAGGAAACACGGCGGAAACATGAACAAAACATGTTTCTCAACAGTCGGGAAACATGTCGGCTGTCGGCTCTGTTGCCCGACAACCCTGTCACATTGAGGAAACAGCAACACAACATGGACGACAGCGACAATGTTGTCTCGGTGTGACAGCTTTTGGCAAAGGAAACCTCGAAAACTTGTGTCGGACGACACGTGTTGCCCATTTCGGTGGCTGAGCGAATTTTTTTTCCAGCAACACGGCAACATCTATATTTTTCTGTACAGATAGTCGCACGAGAATACTTCAACAATAACGTCAAGCGTGAAGGGCAATTTCGAACGCGGCTTCTTGCGCGGCGGCAGCTGATCGTCAAAATCATCTGAATCGATGGCACAAAGAAGCACCCTGTCACACTGCGGAAACAGTCGGAGAACTTTGTCCTTCAACACGAGGAAAACATGTTTTCGGGGACCCTGTCACATTGCGGAAACAGCAACAGTCCGGAAACCTGTTGCTGTCGTCCGAAAACCATGTTTCCCAACTTGTTCTCCGACACTCGGGGAACATCCTGTCACACCGAGAAAGCGTGTTCGAAGAACACAAATTGCCTCCTCTCCTGCGCGCTGCCTCCCTCTCTCTCTCGCCCTCGTCTGCCCGGCCGACTCGGCTAAGCTACAAGCGCGAGCTCCGGGCTTTCAGCATCCCTGCCAAGCACGCGCGCTCGTGCAGTGCAAGCACTGTTCTGGGCCATATGCTCGCGCGGCTGCGTCTGGACCGAAGCTGAAACGAAGTATAGGCGGCCAGGCTCAGATCCGCTGGCTCCGCTCGCCCCTTGAATCGTTGCCATTTTGGATCGCCGTCTCATCGCCGTCGCTCTACCGCAGTCGGTTCATCAGCCGCGCGAACCATCTCGTGTTCTCTGGATTTGGCGGTTGCGTTCTGCTACAGGGCTAGACCCTTGCAGGACGGCATACGCGCCGGCCACAGCAGCAGCTTCTGCTTTGGTGCTTCTTTATGCCATCGATTCAGATGATTCTGACGATCAGCTGCCGCCGCGCAAGAAGCCGCGTTCAAAATGGCCCTTCACGCTTGACGTCAATTATTGAAGTATTCTCGTGCGACTATCTGTACAGAAAAATATAGATGTTGCAGTGTTGCTGGAAAAAAATTCGCTCAGCCACCGAAATGGGCAACACGTGTCGTCCGACACAAGTTGTCGAGGTTTCCGTTGCCAAAAGCTGTCACACCGAGACAACATTGTCGCTGTCGTCCATGTTGTGTTGCTGTTTCCTCAATGTGACAGGGTTGTCGGGCAACAGAGCCGACAGCCGACATGTTCCCCGACTGTTGAGAAACATGTTTTGTTCATGTTTCCGCCGTGTTTCCTCAATATGAAAGGGCCTCAAAGCAGAAGCTGCTGCTGTGGCCGGCGCGTATGCCATCGCGCAAGGGTCTAGCCCTGTAGCAGAACGCAACCGCCAAATCCAGAGAACACGAGATGGTTCGCGCGGCTGATGAACCGACTACGGTAGAGCGACGTCGATGAGACGGCGATCCAAAATGGCAACGATTCAAGGGGCGAGCGGAGCCAGCGGATCTGAGCCTAGCCGCCTATACTTCGTTTCAGCTTCGGTCCAGACGCAGCCGATGCTACAAGCGCGAGCATCTGGCCCAGAACAGTGCTTGCACTGCACGGGCGCGCGTGCTTGGCAGGGATGCTGAAAGCCCGGAGCTCGCGCTTGTAGCTTAGCCGAGCCGGCCGGGCAGACGAGGGCGAGAGAGAGAGGGATGCAGCGCGCAGGGGAGAAGGCAATTTGTGTTCTTCCAACACGCTTTCTCGGTGTGACAGGATGTTCCCCGAGTGTCGGAGAACAAGTTGGGAAACATGGTTTTCGGACGACAGCAACATGTTTCCGGACTGTTGCTGTTTCCGCAATGTGACAGGGTCCCCGAAAACATGTTTTCCTCGTGTTGAAGGACAAGGTTCTCCGACTGTTTCCGCAGTGTGACAGGGCCTTTAGAAAGGATGGCTGCCGACAGCGAGGGTGACGATGAAGATGGAAACGTTGAATTTCGGCCTCTTCCGCAGCGTCACAGACCTCTGCACCAGCCACACAACGGCACGGTCCGGGCTGGGGGACTCGTGTCACTCAGAAGCGTCAGAGTGTTGGGGGCTGGGGATAGGGGCGGGGGATAGTCTGTCGGCTTCGTCTGATGCGGCTTCGTCCGATTCGGCTTGTTATGGCGTCTGGGCGGGGGCTGGGCGACGGAGCCATGGGCTGGTTCTTGGTCTGCTGCTGCGGATGGCTGCCTCAACGAGGCGGGTTTATAGGATCACAGCGACGCCGATGTTGAATGAAAGAGATGAGGATGGTTCCGCACCTCCACCATACTGTTAGGGTGATGCTGTCGGCAGCAGAAAGGACAGGACAGTACATGATGATAAAACACACAAAGGATTTATGGAGGCAGAGCCGGCCCGTGGGGCCTGGAGCGAGATGGTCGTGCGCGCCACTGCCCCGTCGTTGTCTTCACCTTCCTGATAATATATATATATATATTAAAACCAAAGACATAATCAAATAAAAACAATACTCACCAGCCTTTCTACAGTTATAAAGGGAGATTTGCCGGAAGAAGTTTACAAGCTGTCTGGCAACAAAGAGCATTCGCTGCATCGTTGGGTAGCGCCGAAGTTTGCAATTTTGATGACTGGTGTTACTCTCTCATATTGCCAGCTTTACGTCACTCCACTGATGCCCGTGACACTTCTATGGTTGCTCGCTCTTCCTTGCATGTTGTTATTGTTTGCCTTTGTTTTGCCATCTGCAAGTGGTTGACGCACTAATGGCAAAAGGAGCCATAATGTCTGCCGTCGCGTGTCACATACTGTGAGATTATAAAGTGTGCAAGCGCATATTTCTGTTTTTGTTTATGAGCGCATTTGTCATACTTTGTTCCACAGACAACGACACCACCTTTGACTGCTTCCCAACTGTAGTGCTGTTTTCCTACTCATGTACACCGCGTCTTAAAGAAAAAAGTTTTTCGTTTTTCTTTTTTTTAAATAAATTTGTGCTTGCTTTACAGTTCTGAGACATGATAGCATCATTCTCGACTCCCGATACCCTCGTTTTTTTCTTACTCAACGAAGGAGTCTTTCGTTCGTCTTCTCTTTACTTATGAAAAGGGTGAGGCAAGTGTCGGAATCGAAATTGCGTGTTCCCTTAAGTAAGGCCATTTCACTTTTTGACGGAAGGTAAGAAACGCTGGAAGGAAAGACATTCCCGAATTCGAGGGTTAAAACCAGTGTTACTTCGTTTCGAGCAAGTGACTAATCTGGCTGAGACTGCCGCTCATCTGAGACTGTCCAAGTTTGGGTCTTAAACAGCTCTAGCAAGTGACCCCTGGTCCAGACTGCTAGCACTATATTTGGACAAAGACTGAGCTTTCGGAGAAGCATAGTTTATTTGTGCGGTAAAAATACACTGCAATGTATTTTAGTGTAAAAAGAAAAGTTTAGGTTGAATTAAAAAAAAAAAAATCTATGAGTTAAATATTTTTTAAGTTCACGGTTAGAGCGTTTGGTAAAACCTAGCACCCCAAATAATATCGCCTTAAAAAAAGCTTCCTGACACAGTGCGAGCTACCGAGCTCCTTCCATAAATCGCAGAGTTTGGCGCGCCCACTGTTTTACAGCAAACTATTTGCGTGAACTTCTCTGTAGGTGAAGCTAAGGACGATAGAGAATTTGTAAATGTACCCATGGTGAGGAGTTACTCTGTTGATGAGAACAGTAAACCGATTCACCCATATCAAGACATATCGCAGTAGGTAAATGCACATGGTGGAACACGAATGCAGCAGGGTCTGATCTGAAAAATTCAATGGGAACCTTGTGGGCCGGTTTGCTAGTGAATGCGGATACATCTCCCAATGGTTAATAACTTAAAATAACTGCAAAAGGAATTTTGAGGTCAAGGAACCGGCTCCGTGGGGAGGAAGTACCTTGCGAATTCCTGCCGGCTCCTCTCAGCAGGCGCAAGCCTTGCCTGTCGCTTTCTTTTGTTTTTAAGTTCATATGCTTCAGAAAGAACTTTACAATCCACTCCTGAATTACACGAATGCGGTTAATTTCTGTAGATTTCAACGCTATACTTGTGCTTAAAATCAAGCTTTAATATTCGAAGCAAAGAAGGACCTACGGCTACCATTTGCTGGGAACACGAGGAACGCGAGGTTTCTTGTCCCCACGAATCGGGTCACGTGACCACAAAATCCCTCTTGCTGCTTTTTTAACCACCGGGAGAGACAATCGCATTCATCATCACACCGGACTTGGTGGAGTCTCCAAGTCACACATGATACCCCGTTAATACTGAACCGAAATTTCGAGCTCACTAAACAAGGCCGGGCGGATAGGCGGGAAGCTGCAAAACCAAAAAAAATATCACTCATACGGCGATATATCTAACGGATCGCCATATTTTTTAGAAAAGAAGTGCGCGTTTGAACCCGGCCGACGAGACAAGGCACGTCACGATTCCCATTCTCTCTCCTCCTCGCTACGTCCCGTCAAGCTGATGAACCGAAGCGAGGAGGAGAGAAGCGAGGCCGCTTCTCCTCATTCTCAAATTCTCCCGGAGGACAGTTACGTCAAAGAACTCGCTTGATCGCGCCCTTCCTTTCCAAAAGTACGGCCATCCGTTTGAGATATCGATGTACGAGTGATGTTTTGGAGTTCGTAGCGTCCGGTTCCACACTTCTGTAGCCTTACTTTGTGAAATCCAAATTTCGGTTCAGTATCCCTTTAAGCGACTTGGTTTCTTCGGAGCCGACGTCAATAAACGAGGTGTCATATAATTATCTGAAGTCGTCTAGTTTTAAAGGAGACCGCTACTTCCTGGTAAGACGTGTATGTTGCGGTTCGTCTCAATACAATCGCTACTCGAAGAACTTAATTGTGATGTTTTTCTCGTGTCGTAGTTGGGTGGCATTGTCCGGCGGAACGACGAGGAGTGTCATCTGGACCAGGATGGATTTTACTCGGAGAGCTCTGACCAGGTACGCACATCCAGATGGTAGCCTATGCGCCGAGAAAGTAAGGGAGAGTTGGAGACGAGAGCGTTCAAGGACGTCAGAACGCTGAACTATGATTCGAAGGATTAGTGGGTAGACCTAAAGCTAGCAGCCTTTGTTTCCACTACACTCATCAAACGCTTTAGAACGCGGAACACCGGCATCCGGCGTTTGGCTCTCGCATTTCAGTGCGTTCGACGGGTGCAGTGGAAATATGGTTCCTGGAACGTGCATTCGACTGGTGTGTTTACCGCGCGCCAAAAGGTGGCCCCTCGATTTCCGCCTTATGACGTCACAGAAGTTTCACGCTGTCGCCAGTCGCGATCCTGCCGGCGTCCCAACAGCTGTGGTGTGTGTGGCAGACGCCTGTTCTGCCGGAGGTCGCTCTCCAATGGGGCAGTCCACGGAAGCTTCGGCAGCCAGAAGTTGGGACGCTGTGACGATAGCGACGCTCGCGTTCGGTTCTGGTGCTACTCGTAGCTTCTCGTTAGCATTTCTACGACCAACCGTAAGGATCGCGGCATGCAACAGCATGACACTTTGGCTTCTGTGGCATCATCTGTTGCCACTTCGGGACAACGTTTGATTGAATGGGCAGCATAGGACGCTGAACGTGCAAGTCGAAGACGCGTTCTAGGCACCGTACTGGAGACAAAGGCAGCTTGTTTTAGGTCTACCCATTGATTAAAATCGGAGCTCGGTGTTGTGAAGCCCCAGCACGCTCTAGTCTGTACCTTTCACTCGGTTTCCTCGGCGCATAGACCTTTCCAATAATCGTATTTGGTAGGCTGCCATTTTTGTCTACTGGGCTATGGAAGGCGTTCTGAGCGTGCGCAGTAACTCTCTTTCAAGAAAAAAAAAGCGGCGTTTGTGCTCTGGAACGTATGGACGCCGCCTTATATAGCCCAGTGACTCGGCATTTTTCGCCTGGGTGATAGGTGCTAGAAAGGTCTATAGCCCCTCTCAGTTTAAAAAACGCATGGCATGTCGGTTTCCGAGTATCGTATCAGTGAGTGTCTTATCAGTGAGCATCAGAGAGTATCAGAGCTCCCAGTATCAGTGCGATTGCAGAATCTGATGACAAGAACGAGAAAAAACCATGGAGCAAGAAGTGTGAACACAATTAATGGAGCCAAGCCCTGTGTTTCCTAAACTGTTACTAAATATAGACCTTTTCTGCAAGTGCGCCGCCGTCTTGAATTGAGGTCACTTCCAGTATGGGCGAAAACATTGTTTTGCTTTTGCCACGCCAATAGAAGGCGTTTAGGATATAAGCGTAACAGTCACACTTTCTCGTTTCGCCTCCCCTTCACTTTTTTACTATTTGCAGGTTGAAACATTGGTTTATTTTTTCGTCGCCCATACCGGGTACGCCTATTAGGTGGCTGGGGACGAGAGTACACAAAAAAGGTCTATAGCAAAAATGAAATAAAAAAAAGGGTGCAGTCGAGCACTTTTTTTATTGCGCTCAGTTTAATGTAGCGTTTTAAATCGATCTACGTGTGAAATCGTTTTAAAGCTTACAAATTTTAATCGGGAAGCCAGTTGCTTGTTGAGAAACGCAGCCTTATTTAAAGATTAAAGAAATAATTTTGGCAGATGTGTTCGACACTCGGGGAACAGGCCTGGTAAAGTGTCGGATTGCTCGAAAAGGTACTACATTGCAATAGCGTTTTCGAACTGTTCTCCGTTTTCACAAGTCCGACCAAAGACCACGTTATAAAATCCGATGGAGACAATCAAGCAGCACCAAAAGTGTATCGCCGTGGCGCTCGCCATCTGTGTGCGTTTGCCATCATCGGCTTAACCAATCACGCACACAAAGAAAGGGCTGCGGTATCTCCGCCGGGGGCAAGCTGCAAAAAGGCGATGTTTTTTTAGTCTTTCTTTTTTTTTTTTTTTTTTTTGCCCGACCCCGAAGGTTATTTTGGTGATATCCCACACTGCCTGGTGAAAAGGGGAGAAAAGTGGCTTAGAAGCGCGGGATGAATCATATGATAGCCTTTTTAGACTTAGGCTAGGTGGCGCCAGCTACCGCCCGTTGCAAAGGGTATAGCATTCACTGCGCGTGATTGGTCTCGCCGGGGATAGCCAACGGACGAAAATGACGAGAGCGTGACGATGCACTTCTGGCGTTGCTTGATGTGGCTCCGTCTATTCGTTGTGTCGGCTGCGGTAGGACTCGATGTGATACTAATAGCTCTCAAGACCGTAGCGGCGAGTAGGCTGTGCACAAAGCCTAATTAACTTAGCCTGTAAATATATATATATATATATATATATATATATTATTTTTTCACCGGATTCTACTTGTATCGAGTAACCGTACCTAATGAAACCGTGATGTCAGAGAGATCCGACGTCACGGGCGAAGCAGTGCCTACATGCATTTTGCCTAATAGTAGCAATAATTTTCATCAGAAAGTAAGGTTCGCTGAACGGATGCGCTCTGTATGGGCACTGTCTTTTCCCACGTTCTGTGGCGTAAATTTCACTATTATCCTGGAAACAACCATAACACCGAGTGTCTAAAGTTCTTTGCTGCCAACGGACATCATTATTTGGAAAATTATATCACCGCCTGGGGCTTCTACCAGCCGGTTATTCCATCTGGGGCGGGACCGCCCGCTAACCCAAACCAGAACTTCGGTGCACCGCGGCGGAGCGGCGGCGGCGGGGCCAGCCGCCTTCTCCCTCGCTCGGCATTCCTCTCGCCTCCCGGCACCTACACCCCCGAGACCCGGAGCAACGCAATAGAGAGTATCGAAGTAGACGGTGAGTCCAGCTCGCCTGAAGATATCACCGAGGAGACCGGGTGGCTAACAAGCCATCGTCGACGAGGGGCCCGAGCTCTCACACAGCTAGGTCTAACCTTGGGACACTCCCATGGTCAGCAAGGCGCTGGCTCCCGGCCAACCAAACGGCGGTCACGTGTCGAGAAGCAAACAAGTCGGCAACCACGCCTGCCGCGTCAGCCGCCCTTGCCCAAAGAAGACATAAAGATCGTGCTGCGCCCGCGAGAGGGGCTCGACATCACGAAGATCAGCCACGCCGAGTTGTGCGATGGAGTGCTCCGTGCGACCGGTCTCGGCTACGACGAAGCGGCGGAAGATCTCCTGAGAATCAACCTCGCAAAAAACATCATCGTGGCCAGCACCCCCAGCATGAAGCATGCGAGCAATTACACTCCTGTCAAGGAGCTCCGCTTCGGAGAAAAAACCTACAACGTAACCGCTTATGCGGCACCTCCCGAGGACACCGTCAAGGGGATCATACACAACATCCCCGAATACAACAGTGCTGAGGATATTACAAGAAGCCTCGTCTATAAGAGAAATACCACGATTCTGCAAGCACGAAAAAGTGGGCAGACAAATTCGGCAATCATCGTCTTCGAAGGCACCAAGGTACCGCTACCGTATTATTTTTACTACGGCGCCGAATACCGCTGCTTCATACACAAGAAGCGGCACGAACTGTGCTACGGGTGCGGCAGGCTCGGTCATCGCACGGACGACTGCTCAGCAGCTGACAAAAAGATTTGCAAGATCTGAGGCACCGAGGCCCCGCCGGAAAACTATTAATGTGAACCCTAGTGCGCACTTTGTGGCCGGGATCATCCGACCGGCGACAAAAAGTGCCGACTCGGTTTCCGGACTCCCTGCCTTCTCAAGAAGCGGAAGCGGGAAAAGCAGCAGAGACAGAACAACCGTTGACTACCACAAAAGGCTCAAGCAACCGAGCGTCGACATCGTCCATACTCAAGAAAGACGGACCCAGCGGAGCCACGCCCGGCCAGCGCGGTAGATCGGACTCCTTCCCACGCCTCCCGCAGCATGAGCGGCAGAGCAGACGGGACATGAGTCGCGGACCAGGGGCCAGGGACAACTCCGCCAGCAGTCAACACCGCTTGCGCTCGTCGTCGCGGCGCCGGAGCCCCAGCATCGAAGGCCACCAGAACCCGAGACGCAAGTCGAGATCCCCGTCTTGAAGTGGAAGACAGCTAACCGGAAGCAATCAAACAAACAAGGTGAGCTGGGCAAAGACGGTCTCCCACGGCAATACCTCCCAAAAGAAAAGTGCCCCTCCGAAGGGCGGGCCTAGCTCAGAACAATCAGATCAACAGTCCGAGATTACCAAAATTAGGCAGATGCTAGAGCTCGTCATCTGTGCCGACTCAACGCCATCCCCTTCCTCCCGCAACCTAGGCCAGGCCGCTAAAAATCTGGCCAACATAACCAGGTAGCCACGCCACCTAAGCAGTCGCCTCAAATCCCATTGAAAAACGGCTTTACCGACCCGATGGATGACTCACCACTTGACTTTCATCGTCAAAACGCAGGGCCAAAGAATTAACCCCAGTACTCCTAGCCAGCCCGCACCCTCGGGCTCCAACGAAAACGCCGATGAAGACATGTTCCGAGAATTTGGAGAAAACCTTAGTAAGACCTTAAACGAGACGCTCAGCGCCAAATTCGAAACCATGCTGGCCCAATTCGCCAAAAGTATGGTCGCACAAATTGCCAGCCTCAACACTAGGGTTACAGCCTCTGAAAACGCCACCCCGCGGGTGGACAGGGATGGGGGAACAGGCCCTATAATATTAACTAAGCCCTATTTACGCCCACCCGCGGCGGAAAGCCCACAAAATCATCACCACCATGTCTTATTCCCAACACAATAGTACCCGAAAGTGTAGCACGCTCGTCGTCTGGCAATGTAACTGTCGAGGATTTCAAAGGAAACGCGCTCATCTCGAACAATTTATTAAAATCAAGAATTCGGACGAACTGCCTGACGTCGTTTGTCTTCAAGAAACTGGCGCCTTTGCAAAACTCTCCAATTACAAATCTTTCTCAGACTTAGAAGAGGACGCCTCTGGTGTAAACTCCAAGCAAAAACCCACGGTAGCCACTCTCTTGACTCGTCAGACGCAACCTTCCGACCATTCGTCGTGATACCGGGGTGTGCGCGCCGTCCGCGCCGTCCGCGCCGTCCGCGGCTCACGTCCTCGTTGAATTCATCCCGGACCGGAAACACAGGACGCACGGCACATTTATTCTAAACGTATGCAGCTATCTCTGAAACACCCACAAATTCGGCAAACTTTTACGTAAAACCCGTGAACTAGCTCGGGGAAAAACCTTAGTAATCGTCGGAGACTTTAATGCGTATCACCCCGAATGGGGCTATAAACGGGACACGATCAAGGGGTGCAACCTCTGACTTGATACGCAGAGGGAGGGCGTCACATTGATACTGACCCAACACACCTCGCCCGCATTGGAAACAGCGTAAGCGGCGACACCACTCCCGACCTCACCTTCACGAAAAACACGCGCAAAGAAGCCAGTTGGCTCAACACTCAAGAAAACCTAGGCAGCGACCATTATCTCGTCGCTACCGGGGTCGAATCTGGAATCGCTAAACGCAGATCCGGTAAATTAATCCAGCTTATCGATTGGGGCACCTTCCGCGAAATCTGGGCCGTTGAACGTGCCTCCTCTGACGTAGCGAGCGATCCCTCCATCGAGGAGATAGCTGACGTTCAGGAACGGGTGGAACAACTCCGCAGGGATGCCAAGCAGGCTACCAAAGAAATCCCAGAAGACGCATAGCTCTATCAGGCGGATGCAAAGCTCCTCCACATGTGGGAAGCCATACACAGTCTGCATCAGAGACTTCGCACACAAAAGTAAAATCGCAACCTCAGGCGGCGTCTCGCTATCCTCAATCGCGACATCGAAGACTACGCACATACACTAACGCGTCAAAATTGGCACAGCACGTGCGATCGCATAGAACACGAAATTGGGCTTGCAAAAACCTAGAATATTCTCCGCTGTCTCATCAACCCCGACAACAGCAAAACCACACGGACACAACCTCAATATACTTTGACACAAATTTAAGGGCTTCGACACAAATTTAAGGGCTTCGACACAGAGCTAATCAAGACCATTAAAGATAGATACATCGGGGACTCCCCGCCTGACGCCCTCCCGGCCTACACGGGACAGGACAACGACCTCCTTGACCGAACCACCATGGTAAGAGAAGTTCGAGGGGCCATCTTGGCCCTACGAACTCGCTCCGCCCCAGGCCCAGACGGACGAACAAAACGTTCAGAAGTCTGGACAACGAATCAGTTGAAGCCCTCACCCGGTAAATGAACGAGTGCTGGGAACGGGGCCAAATACCCAACCAGTGGAAAACGGCAAAGGTAGTTATGATAGCCAAACTAGGCAGGAAACTCCAGCTCGAAAATCTTAGACCCATTTCCCTCACGCCTTGTGTGGGCTAGCTAATGAAACACGTCATACTGAACAGGATCAACAGCTACATGGAAGACAACGGTCTCTTTCCGCACATCATGATCGGCTTTTGACCAAAACTCTCTACGCAAGACGTTATGCTTCGGCTTAGATACGACGTCATAGACGAGGCGCACTGCTCCCCACTGGATACTAGAGCAATCTTGGGGCTCGACCTCATGAAGGCCTTTGACAACGTCAAACACTCGGCTATCCTCGCGAACCTGGGCGAACTCGGTCTCGGAAGACGGGTGTACGACTACATCAGCAATTTTCTCTCAGACCGCACCGCTACCCTCACCATAGGGGACTCCAGTCGGACGCGATGGAGCTGGAAAGCAGGGGGAGACCGCAAGACTCGGTCCTTTCCTTTTTTCTCCTCTGGCCATGATTGGTCTTCCCAAGATGCTAAACCAAATGAAAGGCCTTCAACATACCCTTTACGCAGACGACGTCACGCTCTGAGTCCCCGGAGGCAGTGACGGACATATTCAGGACACACAACAACAGGCCATCGAAGTCGTCGAGCAGTACGTAGGCCCTCGCGGTCTCAGCTGCTCTCCGCAAAAATCGGAGCATCTACTCTACCGGCCGACCAGTCGGGGACGGCGCACAGATCCGACCCCTCCGAACGTCACACCCTTCGCGGGTGGAACACAACGCATCCCCATAGTAAGAAGCATCCGGCCCTTAGCTTCCGCATACAGGAAAACGGACACAACTCCGAAACCGTTCTCGCTCTCGAGAAGAGCGTCCATCAAACCACCCGACTCATCTCGTGCACTGCAAACCGCCATCACGGCATGAAGGAACAGAATCTCGTGAGGTTAGCCCAAGCTTTCGTCCTAAGCAGGGTAGCGTATGCCACTCCGTTCTTACACCCTAAAAAAGACGAAGAACACAAAATCGATGCCCTCGTTAGGCGAGCTTACAAACAAGCCTTTGGGATCCCGCTCACCGCCTCGACCGAACGCTGCGATGCACTCGGGCTCCACAACACCCTCAGCGAACTCATCGCAGCCCAACGCTTAGCGCAACGGGAACGACTAACCTACAGCCCGACTGGCAGGTACATCCTCGACTCTCTCGACATCGCCCATCCGAGTACTGCCCCAGTTAAAGACGCATCACGCCTAGCAATAAGGGGAGCATTCTCATTACACCTAGCCCGAAAAACATGCACCCCGTACACAACCTAGAGCGAAGACAGGCCAGAGCGAAAGCCCTGCACAGACAGTACGAAAAGTCCGAGGACGCGGACGCGTGGACGCGGTACACAACCTAGAGCGAAGACAGGCCAGAGCGAAAGCCCTGCACAGACAGTACGAAAAGTCCGTGGACGCGGCCGATTACGTGGGTCGCAACGCCATGGCCTTCGTGGTAGTCAATCGACAGGGAAATTCCATCGCTTCCTGTTCGCTTCGCACGAGTGAAGCGTAAGTGGGCGAAGAGGCGGCCATTGCCCTGGCAATGACGGCCTCCGCGAAAATCAAATACGTAGTGAGCGACTCCAAGTCTGCCATTCTAAATTACGCGAGAGGACGAATCTCACCAGAAGCTTCTGAAATCTGACTTCCGCAACGACGCGCGGACCGGTAAGATCTACCTCATATGGGCACCTGCCCACTCCGGCCTGGCCGGGAACGAATGAGCCCACGATGCCGCTCGAGGCTTCACCGACCGAGCAGACATCGACCCTAACACCACATTTGCGCATTCGTTCCGATGGTCGGGCAGGGATTGGCTCGTGTCCTACAGGGACATTGCAAATCATTACCGAATGGGGCAAGCCCGCTTTCCTCTCGCTCACCCATCACTCAATAGGAGGCATGGCGACTTCTTCAAACAAATTCATACCCAAACCCGGTTAAGTATAGCTACTGCTACCCAGGGCAATATTCTGACAAATACCATAAATGTAAACATAGGGAGGATCTAGCACATATGCTATGGGCTTGTCCGCAGGCGGCTGCATCAGGTCGCAGAATCACTCAGGTAGAGAGATGGGAGACAGTGTTGCTCAGCTCCGACCCAGCTGATCAAACTGGGCCATCCAGCTGGCCGAAGACGCTGCTGGAGCCCAAGGGCTCTTGGCCAACACCTATGATCACCAGCTTCTCAGTAAAGTTATTTCTCTGTCTCTCTCATCAAAAACTAAACATTTCCTTTGCAAAAGCTGGCGTAGGTCGTCTTTTTTTATAAAAGGAAAATCGCCCTTGGGAGGCCTAGGAAGAGTCGGTCATCCAGCACCTTTTAAATCCCCCCTCCCCCCTCTCTCGATTCCGCTACATCGTCTTGCAGGACTACCCGTCGCTGAGCCAGATCGTGAGCGTGGTGCAGCGCAGCAAGATCAATCTCATTTTCGCGGTCCCCGAAGGCGCTTACGACGTGTACCGACAGCTGAGCGCCTTCATCGACGGCTCTTCCGTCGGCAAGCTGGTCGGAGACTCGTCCAACATCGTGCACCTCGTCCGGGACCAGTACTACGTGAGTTCAAGCAGAATATCGCGCATCTGCAGGTTTTGACTCAATGCTCGCGTATCCGCTGAAATATTGACAGTCATTGATTTGCCTCAAAAGTGCTTCAACACATTAATGGACACGTCTGGACTAGTAACCCAAGTAAACAATTTCCAATTGTTTTAGAGTGCAGCTCTTAGGCGCCCGTTTCCGGCTTGAGCGGCGTCGCCGTTGGCGTAACCAAGGTCACCCCAAGGTCATGTGACCCCGGGTCACGTGACCCCTCCCAAGGTCACGTGACCCCCGATGTCACGTGCCCCCCCCCCCCCCCGAGGTCACGTGACTCCCTCCCCCCGAGGTCAGGTGACCGCCCCGGAGCATATTAAAGAATGAGGGGAGGAGAAGGAGGAGGGGTCTACCCTCCCCTCAATACCCTTCCCTCCTCCTCCTCAAGAGCTGCGCTCCAATTCGGCGTTACAGGGAGTTGTAAATGGCTTTCACTTTTTTATTCGCGAAGTTATTGAATTTTTTTTTTTTACATTTGGTCTGAAAGCCTATGTGGCTCTACTGGTGACACTGAAAACTCAACTTTAAAGGAAATTCGGTGCCGTATTTACTTGAAAATGGGCACCGCAGCACTTTTGAAAAGGTTCCATTAACTCTCATGCGGCGTGCTATTTCGGAGAAACAGGGGTTCCTTGCTCTCCAAGAAGGGTGTACGCCTGCACCCATCGGTTTAATCCTAAACTCTCACCATTCATCGCGTGTACGGCGTAAAAGTACTCTCTTTCCTACACCCTTGCCATTCTTCGGGTGCAGTTAAGGTATTTTTACCTTCACAACAGGGAATTTCAGTATATCGTTCCGCGAATCCCGATAACGATACTCTGCTGGCGCCTATGCTCGTGCATCGTATCGGTATTTATCGAATATCGGAGAGTTTTAGGGAACCGCTTTTGCACATCCGATTACGGTATGATGGGCACTCCGGTACGAACTGCGCGTTCGCTACAGCTGAAGACTCACACATGCACTTTCAAGGAAAAAGGGTGTCAAAAGGTGTATCGGGACACCCTTTGTCCCATATAATACACCCCAAAACTTCAATTCGACGTACAGCGCCCTACAGTCGAACAGACGGCCCGAAATTTTACAAGGGGCTTGATAGCATTGGTGGTACAACTTATTAAAATGGCTAATGTACGTTTTACTGACAACAAAGAAAAAAATAATGGGGTTTTGTTGGCCCTACATAAAAACTCGGTGTTTTCTTTACGTGGCCTTTGATACGTCCTTTAGCTATTTAAAAAGTTGTACCGCACGGCTATCAAGCCCCTCATAAAATTTCGGGCCGTCTGTTCGACTGTAGGGCGCTGTATGTCGAATTGAAATTTCGGGGTGTATTATATGGGACAAAGGGTGTAACAATACACCCTTTTACACCCTTTTTTCTTGAGAGTGTGCGCAGTTCGTACCGTAGGGCCCATCATACCGTAATCGGATGTGCAAAAACGGTTCCCTAAAACTCTCGCTTTCTCCAAGTTATCGGAACGATCTAGTAAAACCCTCTACTTACCGGCGTGACGGGAGAAATTCGGTTAGGGTTACTGCGACCTAATTTTAATTTGTCTTAGGTTTAATGTGTTTTTGAGTCACTTGGCGACAGAAAGCTTTTAATCTCCGCTGTTTTGGGGGTTGTTCCATAGCGTGGCAGAGCACGAACAAGTGATTACTGGTCTTTCATGTTTTTGTTTGTTAGAGTTATGGAAAGTACTATACTCTGTCTTACCATAACTTGGCAAACTGTGAAGCCTACGGTCCCAGTGAGCAATCAGCTCGTCGGAGGCAGCACGTAGTTGCGCAGAGTGCTGTCGAAGCTAGGGGCGGGACAGAGAGGAAAGACGCTCTTGTACGAGTTTTGAGTGACGAGATAATCTATGAAGGGGAGGAGAGCGACGACTGGAACACACAGAAGAGGGTCTGGGGTCTGGGTGAGGGGAACGGGTGGTCTTCCTCTTTTCCCTCTTTTTAACTTCTTGGCTTACTCCCTTGCCCCTGTATCATTGGGTCGGTCACGTGCCTCGCCTCCGTCGCTGTGATTGGCTCAAGGGGGACGTAGCGTTCCCTCTTTTACAAGTTTTGGGGAACCCAAGTGTAGGCGGTAGAAAGTGCTCCTTGGATCTATTGGCCTTAGTGGTAACGTTTTTTTACTCCTCGGTGCACTCCCTGAGCAAATTGCAGAAAAGCACCGAGGTCGTGCTTGCATTAGCTGTGTCGTGCCGCGCACAGGCAGTCAGCGAAAGATGCCTGATTTTGTATTGGATCAACACCATACACCCCGTGAACAGCCTCGTTTGCCTTTAAGTAACGACGTCACACTAGGATGGCGTCAACTTAGCAACTGGGCCCGAGCCCGAAGCCGAGTCCAATCTGTGTGTTCCATAGATCTTTCTGTGATGACGTCGAATCACTAGTGCACGGGCATTGATTATTCCGGGCGGTGTTGATACGACACTATATAGTTGCGGCAACCGTGTTTGTTTTTTGCCGATCCGATCAATTGGGTCGTCTTCTGCCCCATTGCTTTCAAGCTTTTTTTAAAGTTCGGTTTCTCCGTCAGGTTTTCAAGAGATCCTAGCAAACTGAGCCTTGAACCAAATTTGAGCGTCTAGCCCAAATCGGTCCATTCGGACAAATTAGGCCATCAGCCGAATGGATTACCTCGGCCGGATTGGGATGACACTGCAGGGGCATCTTACGCTCGGTTGTACGAACTCGACCTAACCTCTATACGTTGGTAATGTGCAGAAAATCCGTTCCGAGGTGGTGCTCAAGGACAATGCGCCGTGGTTTCTCCGCGTAAACTACAGCAGCAAATGCCTGAGCGGGTGAGACCTGATTCTGTAGTTACATCACATTTTGTACGGTGCAAACAGTGCCATATGTATAAAAAAAATATAGCTTTGTGAACTGAAAAAAAAAACGAACATTTTTACAGCCGCAGTCACACTGCTTATGCATCATAGAAAAATATGCGTTGTTTGCTGCAGACATGATTACCGAATTATCTGCGGTCCTGCCTGTGGGAAGCATGTTTACTTCATACATTAGTGTACTTCCAACATAACTGCGTACATGTTTTTATATGACCAATGTGACAGGACACTCATACTAGAAAGAAACTACCCTCCCCCCAGACAGTGCCTACATTAGTGAAAAGACGGTGAGAGTGCAGGCGAGCTGGTGGTAGCTAATCATGTCGTATTACACCTGAGACTGCGGTGGAAGAAATTGGAAGAACTTTCAGTAGAAGGAACAGACAGAGAGAACGTCTCAAACTCAGCTAACTGGTTTATTTCTCAAACAGCCTTTAAGTACCCTCGGAACTTTTTCCCAACCACACTCTACACATAAACTCATAAACATAAACTCGTCTCATGTGTGGGTTGTTTTGTATCTTTTGTATCCATCCGGTTCGAAATGTCTGCAACAAAGGAGTTTATGTGTAGAGTGTGGTTGGGAAAAAGTTCCAAGGGTACTTAAAGGCTGTTTGAGAAATAAACCAGTTAGCTGAGTTTGAGACGTTCTCTGTGTCTGTTCCTTCTACTGAAAGTTCTTCCGATTTCTTCCACCGTAGTCTCAGGTGTAATACGACATGAGTGCCTACATACTGTCTTTTGTATGATGCATTACCAGTGTGACCGAGGCTTGAAGTTGTGGTCACACTGCAGTTGATCATCTTTTATTTGGTATCGCGTCAATTCATCTCAGCTCTATACAATTTTGATTCGAAACGTTTCACTGCATTAAAGTGTATTTGGAATTTGTTTTTTAAACATGACGAAAAAACATCTCTTTCTTTGTTTTTGCAGAACTGGAGCCAAGAACAAGCAGCAGACCAATGCTTGTGGAGGAATTCGCGTTGGCGACGAGGTGTAAATGCTTTTGGCCCTGATTTCAGAATCATAGTCCAGCTAACAGAATCAGATCGGCATTATAATGGCCGAGTCATGTTGTGGGAGCCTTCTGAACAAATTAGTGTGACCTAAATAACGTTTTTTAAATATCCCGCTGAGCTAGATCTTTAGAGTTCTAAACCAGTTTTGCCCCATCAATATCCCGCTGAGCTGGATCTTTAGAGCTGAAAACCAGCTTGGCCCCATCAAGTTTCACCCTCTACCCCTTGATACAATCAGGGGAAGAACATAGTCATTGGATTTATGTCTCACTTGTACTTCCGCTGAAACCAGGACGCGCAAGCCTTCGCAGGTTCATGTCCGAAGGGTGATGTTCTTGGGTACATAACATTTTTCACCTCATCCAAATATAATTTTGGTATAGTGTTCAAGTTTGCACAAATCAATAGGGCGACATTGAGTCATTTGTCAGAATCAGGCAAGCATGCTTTGGGCTCAAGTGGCCCTTGAACCATAGCGTAGTTCCGTAAATGACCAAACTAATTATTTTTATTTAAATTTTTGGCCGGAGTCGACAAGCTTCGGTTCCCGGAGTCCTTACAGAGAAGGTCAGCCTGACCGATCAGTTGTTTAAACCTGGAAGGATCTTGAGCTAAATAGTTAACCAGGGACTACATCTTACTCCGCGAAAATTTCATGGGCTTGGCGCTGGCAGCGTTTACGTAGTTAGAACGGCTCGACGCGCGAAGGCTCAGGGTTTCCCCCTTTAAATTGGGAGGAATATCTTTTGCCATCGGTCGTGGAAACCCCTCGATACAGCCGAAACAGCCACCTCCGCTGTCTTTATGAATCCGGTATTTTGGTGCGTCGGTGGCGGCCCCCTCCCTCGACGCAGTTCGAAAAAGCGGCGCCGTGAACAGCGTGACGCATAAGCGTTCTCTGACGCTGTGTTTCCATTCCGCTCAGGGTGGCATTGGTGCTGTAGGCGCGCTGTTTATTGCGAATGCGTCTATACTTCGTTTTACCTGAAGTTAGACTCAGCCGACTGTATACGAGTTGATGGGACCAATCAGAAAACGTGAAAAGCGCACCATCATACATCATGGGGAAAACAGCTGTATGTTCCTCTTCGTAGTCCGTGTTTTCTGAGCTGTTTTCTCCATCATGTATAACGTCAACCAACTGGCTTAGTTTACCACCTTATCGCAACATCATGGTGTTTGTCATGTTTGTGTGCGTGATCCATCATCGCTGAACCAATCCTAAGCAGAAATCGCCTAGTCACCTGCGCTTTTGATTCTGCCTGATTGGTTCCATTATTTTGCATAGCGGCGGCTGCATTTGTACTGAAGGGAGGGCACTACCCAAGAAGGTAAACTTTTGTAGCTTTAGCTTAATATGAATGAAATTTACAGTATATGCTGGCAGTTGCAAGGCAGAATGTGGTGCAAAGTTTCATTGGCGTACATGAATTGTGAAATAAATTATAGTTGTTTTTATTAGGTACACACTGACATTGTTTAAAAAAACTGTCGTTTGAAAACTAATGTAATACCGAACACTTTTCTTCACTAGATACACAGCAGGATGCCTGGAGAGTGCAACTCTGAAAGCAAAGTTTCTAAAACATAATTTATTTTATGCTAACATCGCGCTGAAAATTCATAAATTTCTTGCCTTGTATCTTGTCGACAAAATCTTAATATATCTTATAATAAAAGACATCCCCAAAGTAAAAAATACAATGCCACAGCTGCATTTCTCATTAAATTCCACTTAAGAAAAACTGTCGGTGAGAATTTCCTTTTGTCCCGTTGCAAAACGATAGTTTTCCTAAAGTGAAATTTATGCCAAAAAGTGGAACGGAGAAAACTTCGTTCAAAGTGCTTCAACCTCTACCTTTTCTTTAGCATCGGTGGACCGAAAATAATTTATAAAAAATGACTATGCTGTGTAAACAAATGAACTCTTCTGTGAATACTCTCTAGAAGTCTAGATGCTAAAGGATATGTCATTTTTCAAACTAAACTTTTTGCAAAATGTTTTCTTTCTGTGTAGTTTCCCCTGTTAAGCTGAAACGAAGTATAGTAAGGTATTTTCCGGAGCCTCCGAGTGACTGAATTAAAACATGATAGTGGTAAAAGAAAAGAAGGAGTGGGACTCATACTGGAGAGGCCCCCTTGTGGTGGAGGTAGTCTTCACCAATAGCAATAACCCACTAAGTGCTTGGCCAAGACGGCGGCTGGTATGAGCGTGGCGTGTGTTGTGGACAGTTTCATGTCGGTCCGAGCGAAACAAAACTTAATAACGAAGCTAAATTGTCTCAGCGGCGTGCGCGCTGACGAAGTGCTTTCCCTTCCCTTGGAGCGACATGGAATTGCCCAAAGTACTGGCAGCTAGCGCTAGCACCAGCCGCCCTGTCGGCCATGCGCTTCGAGTGGGCCATTTATTTTGTTGGAAACTATACGGAAATGATTATCCTGCTCCGCCACCAACCTGTGAGACTGGGTGAATAGCTGGGTATATCACACTGAGGAAAGGTCGAGTATAATGGTGTCTGTTCGAAGCAAGTTCTTGCACAGCCGCGGGCTTGTCCAGCGGCTGTGCAAATGCGCGGGCTTGTCCAGCATAAGTCCCATGCATTTTTTTTCCTCTAAAAATATAGTGTTCGATTTTAATTTAAACGCATTTATTTAAAAAGAAGCTGTGAAAGGCACACTAATGCGGTCTCTGCAGGACAGTTGTGCGGCCAGGGAAACATACAACAAAGGGGGCTAATTGTCAAGATAACTGAAATAAGTAACTATAACTTGTTAATTTACTTTTTAACCATTAAAAGCAAACATATGGCTCCAATTATAAACTTGCTCAGCGTCGTCGAAGACTTCCAAGTCGGCAAATTTAGGACATGAAGCAAGTGGGATGCGTGGAGTTACGCCAAAGAGGCTCGTGCAACAGGGCCAATGTTGGCAACGAAAACGCGGATGATAATTTTATCATCCTCGTTTTATTACAAACCGCATGAGTTCCGCGTTTTTTTTTTAATAATCTGTTTGAATTTAAGTTAAACACCCTGTCTTTGCCGCTCACGCTGCCCTCTAGGTGGAGTTCCAGGTGAGTGTGGAGCTCGTCAACTGCCCGGCCGACGCGTCGAGCCACGTGTTCCGCATCTCCCCGGTCGGCGTCAACGAGTACTTGGAAGTCCAGGTCGAACCCATCTGCAGCTGCGACTGCGAAGCGCCCCAACGCACGGTACGCAAGAGAACACCGCGCTGTCACTCGAGCACACCATGATCAAGAGGAGCGCTCACCAGCTTTCTCTCCGAACCCGAACCGTGTTTGGCTAAAGGCATATGAGGCCAGCCCTTAGCGTTCTAGTGTCTGCACCTGGTGTGTAGCCTCGATGACGTCATGATGTCCCGTGACGACCGTCATCAGCAGGACGGTCGTCACGTGACACGATTGCGTTACGTGGTGTCATGACGTCATGTGACAATGCGACGTCACGGAGGACTGATGCACCTAGAGCATTTTTGGTATGTAGATACAGAAGAGACAGGCAGTGTTTTAGGTTTCTTCCAAGCGAACCTTGATTCTAAACTGATGACCCTACAAAGACAAAACTGGTTAGGATTCAACTCCAAATCAGCGACGCAAGGATATAATTTGCGGTACTTTATAGAAGGCCGACTGACTCTGAACAAATGGTTTCTCCCTGAGCTACGCCGACTGCTCGTGATCGCGTGAGCCCTCTTGAAACGGAACATGGACGTGCTTCCATGCATGGGCCCAGGAGACGAACAGCAGCCGCTGCAATGTCCGAGGCAGCTCTGCTTGCGGCGTCTGCTCCTGCGACCCCAACTTCTACGGGAAGCAGTGCGAGTGTTTGGACACCGAGTTGCAGCTTCACAAGGCGCTCTGCCAAGCGTGAGTCTTCTGACGACATTCCTATTAGCCAAAATGAAACCGAACAGGTTTGGGTCTGTAGGGCAAAATTCTCGCCGGAGCAGCATGTAGGCACTTTAAATAAAGCCAACTTACTTTCTTTATCGTTCTTACTGTGCATTATACTCTTTACCGTGCTGAATGATATATCTGTAGCTATCTCGCCGACAAAATAATACTAGGCGACACACTGTGACTGACAATAGTAAGCAAAGCTAATGAGCACAGAATGATTAGTTTTTCTTTTCATTACAGTTTCGAAATAATTCGACTAAGGCGCTTTCTATGCCTATTATGCTTTTTTTCAGTTAATTTACTCTTTATGCTTACTCCACCCTACCTATCAATGTAATTTAATTACATCATGTTTTTGTTATTCATATTTGCGTTAAATTGTTACATCATATTTGCGTTAAACATTATTGAGATGCTAAACAAAAAAAAGTGTAAGGCGTTTACAAACCCTCGTAATGCGAAATTAGAGCGCCGCTCTTGAGGGGGGAGAGGGTACAAAGGGGAGAGTATGCCCCTCATTACCCTCCCCTCCTCAAGAGCAGCACTCTAATTTCGCATTTACAAGGCTTTGTAAATGTCTTAAATTTTTTTTTCTGTTTAGCATCTTAATTATGTGTAACGCAGTACCCTCTCCTCCTCGTCCTTATCCCGCTAAATTTAGCGGAAAAATTTCCATGCTAAATTTAGCGGGAAATTGACATCACGTGACCTCATCACCAATTCAGTTTCCACGCTAAATTTAGCGGGGAAGATGACGTCACATGACTTTTTGTCACGTCACCCATGAACAAATTCAGATTCTCCGCTAGATTTAGCGGAAAAATTGACGTCACGTGACCTCGACACCCATTCAATTTCCCGCTAAATTTAGTGGGGTGGTTATGCCGACGGAGAAGCCGCGAAACTCGGAAAAAAGCGCCTAAAAGCTGCGCTTAAAAAAAAAAAAAAAAAACACCTTTTTGAAAGACGTCTGCGTGTAAAGTTAAACAATACACCTTTGAGCGTTATTGCTGGCGCTTTGACGGTTTCAAATTCCTCTATTTCGGATTACGTGGACTAACCGAAGTCTTTACAATTCGAAGTTTAGAGAGTGCCGTGGCTTCAATGCTTAGCAGGAAATTGTAGTGATGATATGTGGGATAACTAAATTTTAACGCTGCAGTTGTCAATACCAAACGAAGCTTGTTTTGAAATTTTTTGTAGAGGATGTAAACTAGACCTGTTTTTTAAATCCTCCTTGCTTTGGTTATGCCCGTGAATTTGTTTCTTTAACAATATTATAGAGTCAAGAAATCTCTCACGAGGAAGTCTCTTTTACTGTGTATTGCTTCCATGTTTTCCTGCATTCTTTTTGCACTATTTTAGTTACTCTCGTTATGTGCCGACTCGAATAACTACACACATTGTTTTTTTGTTTTTTTTTCTCACGATTTTAGGAGTAACTCCTCTACAGAGCTGTGCTCCAACAGGGGAGATTGTGTCTGTGGGGAGTGCCAATGCTACAATCCCCAAGTAAGCCTGCCCCCCCCCCCCCCCCTTTTTTTTTTAAAGTATGAAATGCTTTTTAGTGCTACCTCCGAAATACCAAACTTCGAAGTCCTAGAATGCATTTCATGCATTCTAGGACTTTGAAGGTGAAGGTCGCAGCCAATCTTTTAGTCCCTTGCCTCTTTGCATTGCCGTGCTTCTTCTTCAGACGGGATCGATCTTGAGGTAACCTCGACGGGCATTCAAGTTTTGCAAGAACCAGTTTATTTCTTTTGTCTCTTTCCCTGTCGCTCGCGCACTTTGTGTTCGGTGGCACAGTTTTCCCGGTTATTTTATAGTCATTGACAGGGTGAGACCGGCAGGGAGGTGCTTCAGTTGTCCCGACCACAGCGTGAGCGTCCTAACTTCAACGACGCTTCGGTGCTTCCTGCATTTCGACCGTTCCGACGCAAAGCCAAAACACGGCGGAAGGCGTAGAGCGCGCGTCCTGGAGGCGGGACATTTTCAAAGACACGCCCTATCATTCTCATTCTGTCAGTGATTGTAGTTTCATTTTCTCGTGGTCTTCAGAATTGGTAATCTTGAACCGTGCGCGGCGCGCGAGCGTCTATCTTTTCCGCTTTTGTAACTACCGACGCTCGCGTCGTGCTTCGCTGCTTCACACCGGTGTGCCGGGGAGCAGCGGCTGATGCGGGAGCGGGCTCAAAACTTTTCCTCGTAGTCAGGGATGGGCAAAATACATGTAAATATGTATCGAAATACAAATACAAAATACTTCGTCAAAAATGTATTTAATTACAAGTCTAATTACATTTCCAAAAAAGCATTTAAGTACAAGATACAAATACAACCAAATGTATTTGGTCTCCTCCAAATACTTTTTCAAATACATTCCTCAAAATTTGCGTCAGCGACTTCAGGGTACCTGGAACGTGTTTCTGGGTACCTCATTTTAATTTTGCAGGCTCTAGTAATGTAATAGAAATATAATCACAAAAAAAAACGTAATCAGCTTGGACGTAATAGGCGAAGAAAGTACAGAGCTTCAAGCAGCTTTTTTTGCCGATAGCATTTTGGTATAGACCAACAAAGAATTTAGACGACCAAGACGCGCAGCACTAGCTAGAGAATTTTTTATATTTGAAACTCGCACCAGTTAAGAAAATCTGGACGACTCGGCATTTAGAATGTTCCAGGCATAAATATGAATGAAAATCAGGCTGGAAAGCAACACAAGTTCTCACAGGCACGTATTTAGCCAGTCTGCCTGTGAACGTCGATTTCGTCACTATTCTTGCCCTAGACTAGCACCGTAATCACAAAGTCACTAAACCCTTGTGCTTGATTGAGAGACACTGCATTCGGTGCGGAACATAATTTTCTTCCTGCTCTGGACTGTGACAATGAATTTTAAAGATGTATTTTCGCCCACAAAATTGTATTTAATTACAATTGTATTTGAAATACCCACGTTTTAGTATTTAAATACACACGTCAAATACATTACCCAATTTGTAATTAAATACAAATGCAAAATACACAAAGTATTTGAAATACGTATTTGAAATACTTGTATTTGAAATAATGCCCATCCCTGCTCGTAGTCATATGTCGACATTCTTGGGCAAATATTAGAGATTACCCGCTACTTCTAACAAACTGTTTCGAAGGAAAAAAAAAAAAGAACAGTCGATTCATATTTTAATAATTATAGTAGTTCTTTACATTTCACAGAAGAAGATAATTTTGTCATTTGAGAGTTTCTTCCTGTTAGGTTCGGCGCGACTGTTTTTTGTTCACTTTCGTTCGAAGGTAGGGAGTGCTTCCACCGAGCCGCTGGCACCGGCTGGATTTAGGTATCGGGTTACCTTACTGAGCGTGCCCGCCGTGCTGGCGCCGAACAAGTCCGGGGGAGGGGGAAGGACTGTCTTGTGAAGCTTGCAGACGGTACCATTGCCTGCTATATTGCACGTTCGTTTGGCAAAGACGCCGAACTGAGACCTGACGTCAGAATCAACGAATGAGAAGAGCAAAAATTAGGTGATGTCAGAGTTAACGAACAGCGCTAGAGAAAAAAGGATGTCAGCTTCAAGCGTTGTCCTCTATAGGCGTTTTATTTTTTAAAGAGAGAGATAGCTGCGCGAATGCGCGGCCGTTTAATAATTGTGCTGCCCCAGCGGCAGCATCTTTGTCTAGAGCTAGGTGGGCAGACATCATTTGGAGAAGCCAAGGAAAAGATCCGCGGGCGTCCAGAAAGTTCCCTTCTTGACTCTTAAAACCCGCTATATATTTCCGTTCCCTGTACATAAAGTTATTTACTCCTCATCATCAAACTACTCGACCTCACCATCATGATCGAAGTCATTGGGAGTCCGCGGCGCCTTACAAAAAAAAGAACCATTACCAACATTTACTCCCCCTGTCTCCAGGTGGTATTCGGGCTTAAAATATTGTATTAATAGACCAATTAACCGAGTGCAATGAAACTTTCCGCAAAGGTGTCTTTTCGGTGGTGCATTTATTATACTAAAATTTAATACATCTAGGTTTTAGGCAAAAAAAAAAAATAGGCCTACAAATTCTTTTTTTTTCGTTCTCTAAGCAGAATGTGGAAAAACACAGAAACCGCCTTATTGACGCGTTTATTCGCACATGGCGCAACATAAAGGAAAAACGTGAAATCTGCTCTGAGAGGAACTCCTAAAAGCAGATCCAGCAGATCCGAGTGGGTCGCACTTTTCGGAGGCGCAATGGGGGACAGCGGGTGTATCACGGAGCGCGCGTTAACCAGACTTGGGAAGTAATCCGTTACAAGTAAGGGATTACTTGTAATTCGTTACTTTTTCAAGTACCTATGTAATTGCCATGTTACTTTTTGTGGCAGTACTTTGTAACGCAATTTCGTCACAAAATAATTTAACAGGTTACTTTAATAACTCGTTACGTGTTAAAAAAATATGAACAAAGTACAAAAACTGGAGCAATGAGCAGACTATTCAGCAGCATAAAGATGCTAAACGAAATAGAAAACATTGTGAAGAGGAGAATAACCGAAAAGGAAAAAACGATTTTTTTGTATGACCGGTCACTAGAGCCGCTAGAAAAACGTGCAAGGCATACACAAATATGCGAAAAGCAAAGATCAAGAAGTGTGGGTCGCTCTACTATACTGCTGCCCAATCGGTCCCTGCCTGGTCCGCCCTCCCAAGAAGTCACACGAGCAAGGATTGATTCAAATCGTTTTACTGTTCGGCGTCTTGGTTCTGGGCCTGGCAGTTGCTGTCGTTGTCCTGACCGTGCGTCTTGCCCCAGTGCCTGGCGGAATCTCTCGTGCACTCTGTCACGCGCACCGGGCCGCCGGCCACCGCTCCTGCCCCCTCGCGCGCCGTCGTCCTCCTCGGCTTCCCACAGAAGATAACGCCGAGTGGGCTCTGCCTCTCCATCGCCTTTTATCGTGTTTTTTTTCTTCTCCTGGGCAGGAGAAAGCTCTTCGTCTTTATTTGCTCCTGACTTTTACAGACCGTTTCACCCTTTCCAACTTCATCGACGTCTTCTGCCACCTGCACAGACATCAAGCGCGGGTCCGTTCATGCATAAGCTGACAGAACGTCAAGAATACAAGCACGAGACCGCTAATTTGAGACGTTGCGCTCACGCTTGAAAGGCTCGTTTCAAAAGGGACTTTTCGTAGATCGGTTCCTAACCTCCGAATCTTCTATCGGATGTAGACGCAGCATGCGCACCGCTAGCTTTGCCTGCAGAATTCCAGGGACCATTTCCGGTCGCTGTACACTAACGAAATGGCGGGTAAGGTTGCAACTTCCGCTGCCTTGAACGGAGTGCACCTTCATTTTTTTTTAATACAACATTTTATTTTTACAAGTTCTACCGAAAAAAACACTATAAACTGGGTTATGAGACAGTTAGATTTTCTGTTCTATAATTCAATTTATACTGTTTTTTCGGTAGGGACGACTATTACAATGCGGCCTGTAAGCGAATGAGCTGCGAAGACGTGTAAGGAGAGCCTCCCCGCCTCAACCGGATGATGTGATTGGAACCCGACCATCGCGACTTCGTCCCCCGAGGTCGGCATCCCGACGTGGGAATTGGAAAAGAAGAAGACCCCAGAAACACAAACAGCAGGAAATGAACGACAGATTAACTACGACAGGAACGAAAACGAACGCGAATATATCCCAGTTGTATCAAATATTTCTCAGTTTTTATTAAATCAGTTTACAGTCAACAAAATCGTTCATCCCGTTCTAACATGGCGACGAGGAAGACCAAAGCGAATCTCACACCGAGCACGGCCGCAATGGACGGCGACAACGAAAAACCGCCGGACGGACGGCAGCATCCACCTGCCGAAGTCACGACAACGGGCCCGGGTTCACCCAACGCCACGGATAATCCAAGGGATGCTACGACGATAACCACAACAGCCCTGGCACCTGCCCTCGAGATGATCGCACTACTCCTTGAACGGCAAGTCAAAGCTCCCAACGTTAACCCAATGCATATAACCACGACACCGGATATAACGTCAACGCTGCCGACCTACTCTGGAAGAAAAACTGAAAGCCTTTCGAAACAGCTCGCTGTCATTCAATCAATGAGAAATCGCTCAGCCTGAAACGAACCATCGACGCTGAGCACAGCGATCCCACGCCTTCACGGACGAGCCTACGAATGCACCGCACGGATGGCATGCGACTCACAGACTGGATCGAGTGGACAGCAACCACCGAAGCGGAACTCGACGAGCCTCTTCTGTTTCGCCAATGGGTCTTGCACGTAACCTCAGAGTACAGCAACAAAGCGAAACACTTGCCGACCACATGTCCGCCCGCTTCGAACGAATCAAGCGAGGAAAGTTCACGGACGCGGATATTTTCGACTGGCTAGTCGAAGGCAGACGAACAAATACCCACAAACAGATGCATTTTACGACTAACATCGAGGATCAATACCCAACTTCCTCAGCTACGTTTCACGCCAAAACCGGGAAGCCGACCGCA